CAAGAAGTGAATGACTAATTTTATTTGGGAGATTGTTAACCAGAAAGCGGGACACAAGATTGAATAATTTTCTCTGTCCAGAGATTTGCCTGTGTCTATCTAACATTCTTGAGCAGTTTCCCCAAGAGATTTCACTGAACCTGAGCCTTACAGCAATGGCCAGAAAGTACTGTCTTACTTATCGGATATTATGTGTGATTTCTCCTGGTGAAGCCACATTCGTTCAGAGTTTAAAACGACAGCATCTTCTTCCCCTCCACCAACACTTTACAACTCAATATTTCCTCACACTCCCTCGAGTAGATACAAGTTTTAAAAAAAATCATCACAGTAAATAAATGCAGTTGAAAGTTTAACCTGGCCTCGAACCAGCTTGTACTGTTTCCTTTACTACTGTATGCATGTTAGTTTTGGAGACAAATAGAGGACGCCAGTGTTTCTACACCAAGAGCATCTGCGAGTACTTCTGACAATGTTACCCCTCTTTGTCACCTCAGCGTTGTTCCAAAAATTTGCTTTAAGAAAAACAAAGTCGGTCATTCTTTTCTTCTGTCTCACCATCACCCAACTGCTCATTTGGAATTTTTTATTGAAAATTAAAACACTGGCAATTTCCTGGTTTTGCACATGCACAAGTCTCTCCTCTTCATCTCACATTATGTTTAGGAATTTAATATTGATGTTAAATTAAGAGCAGAAAGAGAAAACTACAAGAAACAATGAGGTGCCTGCCTTTCAATCTGCTCTGAGTATCAGTTTGTGTAATAACTTTTCTTCTACAGCTGCTTTTCTACTTATTATTGCCGATATACGAGCAATGAGTATATCATTAATAAGGAGGGTACCACGGAAAGGCAAGTTTTTGCTGTTTCAAATGAGGAAGTGAGAAAGGATTGGAGTAATAGCTCTTGGATGTTTTGCAGCACACGCTCACTGCTGTTTTGACTGCCACATCTAGGAAGCTTGTATCTCAGACATTTTATACAGCTGCAAAGTGCATCCATACACAAATGAGGTGTATTCAGACCCTGACATGGTGTATAAAGCGCTGGGACGTCATTACAGTAGGTTCGCTTCAGTCTAAATCTTTGCAAGCTCAAGCCCCATAATAATAATATAATCCTTGCATTTGATATAGCGCTTTTCACGTCGGGAGGACGTCCCAAAGCGCTTCACAGAACACACTGTAAAGTGAATTGACTGTATATTTGTGGGCGAACGCGGCAGCCAATTGCGCACAGCAATGTCCCACAAACAGTCGTAGATTGAAAATGACCAATTTAATTATTGTTTTTGGTTTTTTGGAGGGATTATTATTAGGCTCTGTGTGGAGTAAGGAAACTTGCCCAAGGTTTCGCCCTCTGCCTGGAATTGAACTCAGGTCTCTCACTTGCAAAGCGAGTGCTCTAACCACTGAGCTACAGGACTCCAGGACTCCATGTAACGACTTGGAGCTTGTAGTCTGTGCTGACGATCCAGCACAATGCTGGGGGTGGGATCTGCACTGTTTGGAGTGCTGTCCTTCCTTGTTGAAATAATAATAATAATGTTGAACCAAGTTCCTATCTGCCCATTTGTTCAGGTGGATATTAAAGATCATGTGGCTGCCCGATCATCTACAATTACACAGTCACTACACTTTAAGTAGATCTTGTGAATCTCTTTGAGGCGTCTCGATGATGTGATGAGGGGCAATATCAAATGCAAGGATTAGCATTATAAATCCTTAAATATAGGAAACAACAACAACAACAACAACAACAAGATTCCATTTATAGAGCGCCTTTCACGTCAGGAGGACGTCCCAAGGCGCTGCACAGTTGGGTCATGACCCGAGCAGGGGGGAAATGGAAACATTAGTTAATCCATCCTTATTTATCAGGTCTGTACTTAACCTATACAGTGACAATTAATCTCATCATCACACCTCACCTGTATTAGTTTGAAGGGAATGATTGAAAGACGACTTGGGGTGTGTGTACTGGTGCCTTCTGAAGCATGCAAATACAGTACACGTGTACTCCAAATGCAGCAGGCAATGAAAGAAAAGGAACACTGCATTCCTCCAGCTAATCATTAATGCACAACTAAAAGTAAAAGTTCCAGAAATCTACCTGCCCAAACAGCAACAAGAAAACAAGGCTCCATAAAGAGAACGTCTAGAGGCCTGAGACTGCTTTTAAACTCGCGGTATTACCATTTGCATCAACAGCAAATTGTTCTGTGTTACTTTCCCAAAACCAAAGCTACCCTGTTGCATTCTAAAGTCACAGCGCTGGACAGATCAGAATTGTGCTTTGACACAGGACCAAGTGTTAGCATTCAGTAGCACTGTGCCAGCTCCCAGTAGCATTTGTTGTCAACAAGGAGAGATCTCCAGTTTTCTCACACACCCACAGTCGAAGCTAAACCAACCCTTCCCATTGTGCACAACCCCAGGCCTCGATCCTCGAGAGCTCTGAATCTTTTGCAGGATGTAAGGCATAATACAATGAACACTCACACATTTCTACGAGTTGCTCCCAAGCTCTGCTACAGATTCCTGCAGCATCATCTCATTTATATTTTATGCCTAGACATGGGTTTTCTGTGCCAAACTCGCTTCAGAACAGGCTTTTTTTAAAAAAAACTGTGCAATGCAGTGTTTTAGATGGGGGGGGGGGGGGGGGGAGCTTGTTTCAAGACAGGTGGATGCTTTCCCTGATTGCTGACATAAGATGGACACATTTAGAATAGCTTTAAGGACCAACAAGGACATTCGAGTAACGACAGCAAGTCTTTGCATTTTCTGGTTTGCCTCAAAATACATATTTTGGTTTTACAACAACTTGCACTTGTTTAGCACCTCTCAAGCAAGTATTTCTGCTTAGATTATGATACACCGTCCCATAAGGTATTTTCCTAACACATGTATATTTGCATCATATGCGTAGGGACGAGAGAAGCCTCACTTCAAATGTTTTGTTGCCAGCATTAGGCACGATCAAAATCTTGTTGTGTTCACAGCAGAGGTTAATTTTAGGACTCTGTGGCTATTAAGTGTATTAATATTCCTAACCTCTGCACCTTGCCCCTAAGTCTAGCCTCTGTGATTGGAGGGCCACAGGAAAGGTGAAAAAGGAAGGTCAATACTCAGAATGTATGACTCATATCCCTTTTTTTTTTGAGAATTTTCGTAGCAAAAGGAAAAACCCTAAAAATATACACGGCTACAAATACAGTCACTGCACTTCTCAGAAACCTGGGTGTGTGAAGTGCTTCGAGATGTTCCAGACATAATAATAAGCCACTGTATCAAATGCAAGAATTGAGATTATAAATATGTAACGTGGATGGACTGTTGCAGCCTGAATACCATTACAGTGGAGCTGTTTGTCAATGATGCTCCACACCATCTTAACCCAGTGATGCAATGCTTTCCTAGAATTAGAATATTTAGAATATGCAAAATCCAAGACACACAGTTCTGCATTGTCAACATCAAACAGCTCGGCAAACTGCAATTTGTCACATACCTTCTCCCAAAAATGACCAATTGTGTTGAGGCTGACTCTGAAAATCCAAACCCGGCCTACAATTATATCAACAGCAGTTAAATAAATGTCCACCGCATCTGTTAGTGGTACGCGATTGAACGACTGGGCTAAAATATGGAAATGAAATTCAAACAAGCGAAAAAAAGGGGCCTTTTTCTGTTCCTTTGGGTTTTATTTTTTTATAAATAAAAAGTAACATAGGGCTGAAAATCTAAATGACTTCGGGTTAGCAATTCTGCATTCTGCCGAGAGGGTTATATGTTACTGCAATAGCTTAGGGCCCGAAATAAGCAGCTAAACCGGTAGGATCTTAATGAGACGGAACTTGGGTGACTTTTGTGCATGTGCACAATTTCATGTGCTGCACTGGCCTGAGTGGAGGCCGGCTTTGCGACAACAACAACAACTTGCATTTACGTAGCACCCCTCACACAGGGTAGCGTCCCAGAGCACTTATGCAGCTTTGCACTGACCACCTTCGGGCCAAGGGCCTCGTCGATTTCAGGCCAATTTCGGTTGCGAACTAACCAGAGGTGATGTGTGCAGGGTTTTTTTTTAAAAAAAAACCACATACACACACACACGCGCATTGCCCTCAAAACATAGTGAAATTCCCTCCGCGGTAATATTCCGTGACGTTCTTTGAGCCGTCTCGAAGACGTGACGAGGGAGGCGCGATCAAATGCAAGGGTGACTGTTGCGGTGATGATGAGAGAAAGAGAAGGAGAAAAAGGAAAGCGAGAGCAATGGAACAATGGCTCGCCATCCCCATCACTCCAGCGTGTGGCCGGGTGGGTGGATCCTAGCGTTATGGTAATGATTTGAGTTTCCTCCTCCTCTCTTCCTCTCCTCGAGAAATTACAACATGTCTTCTGTCCGGAGGAGCCGCGTCGAGGAGTCTTAATCGCCCCCTAGAAACCGAACCAACACATTGGCACAGGGCGCACATGCTACGAGAGCTTTTATTCCTCCTCGAGACACGGAGATCAACTTGTAAGGATCCAGACGGGCGAGATTACAGCTATAATAAAACACAATTAACTCGCCATATAAAAAAAATGGCAGCAATGTAATCTTATCTGCCCTGTAAAGGAGAAAATTAATCCGATTATCAGATGAGGGGGGAAAATAAAAGGGTGGTGGGGTATACATTTTGTATACATTTTGTATACATTTTGTAAACATCAAACATTTAAATGTAACCAAATGTTTTCTCTCTCTCTCTCTCTCAGCCATTTACGAGATACAAATGTATCCCAAGAGACTTTCAACTGGAAACAAAAAAAAATCTTTCCTTTGGCTAAAAATCCTGGTTCTGGTCTCTTATCCCATCTCAGCAAAGTCCTTAAAAAGCCATGAACAACGCACTTAATAATAATCATAATCCTCCACCACCTCCTCCACCTCCTCCTCCAACACCTCCTCATAATCATTGTAACATAAAAAAAGGAATAAAGTCATTACCTGAGCTGTGTATCTCTTTCCTTTGCTTTCTCGACGAGGTTATTTTCTCTCTGCTGTTTGGAAGTGTGTGCAATGGCTGAGTATACTGCTGGGTGTTTGGTTTAAGATGATGATGTGTTTGCACGTGTATAATAAGATATATATATATATGTGTGTGTGTGTCTGTGCTTATTCCCTGTCTGTGAGCTGCCTCTCTCTCTCTCTCTCCCCCTCTCTCTCTCTCTCTCTCTGGGCTCCTATCTCTCAGAGCTCTCTTGTGCTTCAATGCTCCTTCTCTCTACATTATTTAAATGGCTGATTCCCAGCTCGACACGCCACATGGTCTGACAGATTGGGTTTGCAACCGAGTCCAATGAGAGAGAGGAGGTTGGGCTGGACCACAAACTCGTGAGATGATTTGCCCCCCCTCCCTTTTTCCACACATTGCAAAAGACTGTGCAGCTCTCCCTCTCTCTCTCTCTCTCCCTCCCTCCCTGTTGGGGTTACTATAGTTTATAGTTTTATGTTCCACATCACAGGGAACCAACAGCACTGTGGTCGATGATAATCTGCACAAGATCTGAATTTCAGGCTTCAAACCTTTGCTTTTTTTTTTCGTGTCCCCCCCCCCCCCATCACTCTGTAATATAAAGGCATATTTTTTTATTTGTAATCATTTTAATGCAGGAGAGAAAGGCTTCTCCCAAATACAAAAGCCAAGGAGGTAAGTTCATTTTTATTTTGTCTAGTTCGTGCTTGCTGGGGCATGCTGTGTCTTGTTTTGTGTTATGAACAAAAAAAAGTTGTGTTGCAGATTTAGCTTTATATATATATATATATATATAAATGTATATATAAATGATAATTTGGGTCATTCAATCCACGACTGCTTGCGGGACACTGCTGTGCGCAATTGGCTTCTGCGTTTCGCCCGCAAACTACAGTCAAATCCGCTTTACAATTATATTCTGGGAAGTGCTTTGAGATGTCTCAACGACACGATAAGGGGTTGTATCGAATGCAAAGGAAAGAAAGGGGAAGGCAGAAGGTGCAGCCTAAAAAAGGAAGTTTTAATGGTGGGAAGGCAAGGCAGAGGGACTCCAGGTTGTAGATTCCAAAAGTCCAGTAATGCAGAGGCTTTTACACTCATTTATTGAAGCTTCAAGGTGTATCTCAAGACGTACGTCTTTGAACTGTGCCTTTGATCATCCTTCCCCCATCCCTCCCCCCTCCCCCCACAGGATAAGTATCTCACAGCCACTTAAAAAGAGGCCAAAAGCAGGTTGTGCAGCCCATCAGCTCCTCCGTCCAGAGAACGGTACATTCAAAGGCCTAAGTGTGTGTATGGGTGGATATCACATATATGTATTTTTCTGAGAGAAAACCTAATCTAATCCAGTTGTATTAAGATTACCACTCTGCAGTTGACCAATTAAAGATCTGCAATGAACGAGTCCTTCGGATTTGAGCCTGGATTTGATCGCTGGCCTATAAAGGCAACATGAAATCAACACCGAAAAGAGTCGTGAGAAACGCGTTGCGCCACAATGGATTCATGGTGAGTTTGCAAAGTTGGGCTAAACTTATAGTCTGGATTCACACAGAGGTACAGATACACGGGTGCCATCAGGCCCTGGTACGGTGTCAAATTGGGTCATTTTTCATCTGTGAGCCGAGACGCTAAGAGTTGGCAGCCTGTGTGACCGCAAGAGATCACAACTAACCTGGTTACTGTTCTCGCCTGATGTCCACACTTGTGTACTTTGCAGGGTCACGCTTTGGATAGTGACCTAGAACCTGAATTTCATCTTCCTAACTCAGGGACACCAAAGGCAATTGCAACAACCCGATTGCTGCCTCGGTTCAGATCTTGCTGACTCAGCAGAGGTTTGGAAACTACTGGTCTGTTTGGTCTGAAATGATCAATCGGCTGAAGCACATTGTGACAGGAACTTTTGGGTTCTGAGGTAAAGCAATAGTTAAGATTCTATTCCAAACACACTCTTCTTTGCATTTCCTAATAAAACATCTATTGAACTGAAATTCTGATCTACACTCCAGGCCACTAATGGGATTTTCACATTATAATCAATATTGTACATCGCCAAAGGCACTGAGTACAGTATAACACATTTCAGTCAAATAGGAACAGTAAGGACTGTTGCACCCAACAAGAAGTTGAGTTGAAAAACTGTATTAAAATGTCGCAAATTGAATAATGATTAAATATTCTCAATATCTAATAATACTTTTTTTTTACACATAATTTTGACAGGTTTAAAATAACAAAACGTTGTCAAGATCACGACATAAGAATTGAAGGTTAGAGGAATTCAGATCAATCTGCTTCTATTTGTATGAATTATAAAAACAATTGCATGACAACAACTTGCATTTATGTAGTGGTGTCTTAGAGCGCTTATGGTTTAGTTGGTAAAGCAGTTCAGCACTGGACTGTACAGACTGGAGGATTACAGGAGAGAAAATTAGCTGAGAGAATTTTGAAATTGAATCCATTTGCTTTCACTGTGTGTTATCGTTTCTTCCTATGTTTTTGAAGTGCAACTTGTTGACAAACACACAACAGTAAGTGATATTTTAGCTCCTGTGGAAAAACATTCAGTGCTACTAATACTTCCAGTGGCTGGAGAGCAAATGTGATTTAACTGTTAAATACCACTTGGCTTTAATAACCTTATGAGAAATACAAAGCTAGAAATATTCTCCTTCAATACAGTCCTTCAAGTCCTGTAGCTCAGTGGTTAGAGCACTCGCTTTGCAAGTGAGAGACCCGAGTTCAATTCCAGGCAGAGGGCGAAACCTTGGGCAAGTTTCCTTACTCCACACACAGCCTAATAATAATCCCTCCAAAAAAACAAAACAGTAATAAATTGGTAATTTTCAATCTACGACTGTTTGTGGGACATTGCTGTGCGCAATTGGCTGCCGCGTTCGCCCACAAATATACAGTCAATTCACTTTACAGTGTGTTCTGTGAAGCGCTTTGGGACGTCCTCCCGACGTGAAAAGCGCTATATCAAATGCAAGGATTATTATTAATACAAACAAAACCCACCAACATAAAACAGAATCAAGTAACCAGTGTTATGACAAAATAAGGCCCATCTAAGATAAGACTGAGGAGAAAACTTTTAATAGCATAATTATTCACATTTTTAAATTCACATTCCCCATGTTTTATTCTGTTGTTTAATTCCTTGATTTGACATCAGGTGCTCTGATATGTTTGTGCAAATAATAATTATCCTTACATTTGATAGCGCACCTTATTACATGGTTGAGATGCCTCAAGGAGCTTCACATCTTTTTTACTACAAAGTGTAATGACTGTATATTTTGTAGATGAATGCTGCTGATTGTACGCAGTGGGGGGGCATGCAAGAGTTGAATGTTTGAGATAGTTTTATTTCTGAAAGTCAGTGTGGGAGACAGCAGGGTGTGTTATTGCTCTGCCCTTTAAGGCCACAAGCAATCTAACGTGAAAGGGAAAGTAACTTCAAAGGATAGTGCAGTGCTGGAATGCAGCATATCAGCCGCCTTTGGTGGAAATTCACTGGGCATGATAGCGGGGTGAGAAGTTATAGTTATGTCAAGAGACTTGAACACGTGGGACTACTTTTTGCTGGAATAGAGAATAGCCAGATTGAGGCTTACTTTGAGATGTTTAGGTTGCAAACGGGCGCTATCCCACTATCTGGTGGCTGTGACCCGCAAGCCAGCAGTCAAGTGGACAACCTGAGTTTGCAGCGTTTTGCCCTCGAAACACACAGTCACTCCACTTTACAGTATATTCTGTGAAGCGCTTTGCGACGACGTCTCGAAAATGTGATAAGGAGCTACATCAATGGCAAGGGTTATTATTATTATTAACACAGAGACCAGTGTCAGGAAGATTCTGTGTCTCCCAAACCTCGTTACATTTCTAATCAATAATATGGTATCGATGCATTACACATTTCCCACTGACCTCTCAGATTAGAACTGAATATTAAAAGGTGGAGGGCAAAGAGCGGCGGAATGTGTGGCTCAAGTAAGGGTGGGGGTGGCTTGGGTTGGGAAAAAAACTATGTAGAAAACAAAACCCGAGTGATTCAGTAAAAAATAAATCGGAGGGGAAAAAATCGTTGCCTTTAAGTTTGGGTAACTTGTGCAAAGGAGAAAGCTGAGTCAGTCAGAGATCAGATCGGATGCCCATTTGTAGAGGGCAGATGTGGAGGTGAGATGACTATATCCAATCACACTCAGTGGGTGGGCGCAGTGCAGTGATGGGCTGATGTGGTCTCATTGTTTGTTAGGGGTGTGACTGTGGTTAGTTGTTCAGTCAGAGAGGAAATCTGCCCAAAGATTTCAGAGCTGTGAACTGAAACTTCCTTTCGGTCATTAACCTCTGGATACGCTCACTCTGGATCAGGGATCGGGGGAAGGGGTTATTAAAAGTCACTCACTGACAATGATAGAACTTGTGTTCGGTTTCAGCACAGAACATGTCTACTTTTTTTTAAAAAAAGCAGATGTTGTAAATGCAAATGGGAACATTTATAAACAGTTACCAACCAACAACAACAACCACCACAAAATTGCATTTGTTATATCGCCTTTCATGTCGGGAGGACGTCCCAAGGCGCTGGACAATTAAGTGTTTCGGCAGCAAAAGCCGACAAGAGGCACTGTAGGGACATGGAAATTTCTACAATTCATACAACCGTCTCACAGGAAAGTTTAAGGCGTCCCTTTTATTTTTTGGTCAGCCGGGTGTCTGACACATGGAAACCCAGCAACCAATCTTACCAATATCCACTTGCCTGCTAATGACATGCACACACTCTCTCCCTCTGGAGGGAATAATAATCCTTGCATTTGATATAATACCTTATTGCGTCAATGAAATTTCAAAGCACGTCACGTGATTTAGTGTAAAGCGTAGTGACTGTGTATTTATAGGAGAATGTGACAGCCAATTTGCACAAAGCAATGTCCCACAAACACCCTAGAAGTGGATGACCAATTTATTCTGGAAGATTACTGTTACACTTTGCTTGCCTCTGGGAGTTCAGGCACGAGTTGGTGCCCTAAATTGTGAACTACTGAAATTTAGATAAAACCATGCGATATCTATTGAACACTGGCAAGATTCCCGTTGGTTGCACAGTAGCTTCTTACAACAGTGTAATTCTGGTATTGTAGACTGAAATAGCAGACAAATGTAGCCAATAACCATTTTGTGCAATTCACATTGCTGGAAGATAGAAAAACAATTCAGAAACATTTTTAGGTTAGGACTTCAATACTAAGACGTTTTCTGCAGCAACAACTATTAATGTGTACTAAAGTGTTCATCCTTCACTTTCTATTTCACAAGAAAATAACTTTCTTAAAAGGATAATCTCGATCTTCAGTCTCTGTGTTTAGAAGTTTGCTCATCTTTTCTGGTCAACTGATGTGAATTGCAAGTAAGCCTGAAGCTAAACTTTAGGTTTAGTTTATCTCTTCAGTACGGTGTCTGTGCTATTGCAATGACCTTGAAAAAGTTTCCTCTTGATTTGTCCAAAGCTTTGAATTCTGACCTTCTGTGCTGAGCAACAGATCAGCATTTTTTTCTGCGCCACATTAAGACTTTAAATCCATAAAGTCCATAAAAATGGCACTTCAGTGCAGAAACAGCATTGTCGAAAATGACATTCTTCAATGAGATGATAAACAAATGCCCCTTCTGCCCATTCAGGTGGGGAAATAAGAGATCCTGTGAGAGTATTTGCCTACAAATTCAGTCCTATGAGTCAGTATATATTTCAGTTAAAGAATCCAGTTAGAAATGGCTGTAAAAACCTGAATAAAACAAAAGATTTTTACTGGGTTATTGCTTTGATGATTTTATGATCTTAATGTAATGTATGGTTTGAGAATTTGAAATACAGTAAATCAAAATTCATGCACATTCTACATTCCCACTTGGACAACTGTTGACCGTTGCAGGTTTCTCCCAGTGACTTGTCTTCCAGATGATATTGTTCATTCACTTCATAGTGGGACATTGCTCTTTGCAAAGTGGTTGTTACGTTCGCCTAGAAAATACAGTCACTACACTTTACAGTAAATTCTATTAAATACTTTTGAGATGTTTCAATTGCTTGATAAGGCGCTATATCAAATGCAGTGGTTCAGTGAGGGGACAGTGCAGCCTTATACATAAATAAACCCATTGTTTCCATTCAAGATTTCATTTAGTAACTAGAATGAAACAAAGAGAATTCACCCACTAAGATGGACCGATTTAGCTGATGCAATACCAACCCTTCTTAATGCAAATGCTCAACAGTATTTCATAAGGTCAACTTGTTACAGGATGTCCTCTAAAAACATATAATGTTATCCAAAATGCCTATTTGAAAAGGACAAAGAATGTTGTGTTTCTCAAAGGTTGTTTAAATTCAAGGTCAATGATAGAAAATTCTTGATAATTCTTTGTATGAGTCCTTTGTAAAGTAGCTTTTTTCTCTCTTTGTGTGCAAGTTGGAATTTACTGGTTCAGATCATGTAAATGAATTGCCTTAGAAATCAATAACAGTTGCTGAAATGCTATTTGAGTAGTGTTGAAACATTGCAATTGTGGTGTTACAAGAAATAAATAACTAAACATTGTTTTGTAACTTGTTAACATTTGCAATGTTCTATACTAAGAAATGCTAAACCAGATCATGGGCAGTTCATTACTCCCCAAACAAAATGCTTTTAATCGCTGAGAAGACTGACTTGCAGGAGAATTAAGTTTGCAACTTAAAAATAAAGACCAATTTGGGTATCATAAATATACCAGAATAAAAGATGTTAAAATTAAAGCGTTTGGGGAAATTGCTAATTTATTATTTTGTTGGTGTCTACCATTTGAGATGTTAAACTAAGGTCCTGTTTGCATGTTCATGTTGATCCGGTTGCACTACTTGGAATTGAAGAGAATTTCTTCCGGTGTCCTGACCAAGAATCCCCTGGATAAGATTGGTCATTCAGTTTATGGCTGTTTGTGGGACATTACGCAAATTGATTGCCTCATTTACCTACAGAGTAGGCAGCTAATACACTTTACAGTAAATTCTGTGACATGCTCAGAGATGTTTTGATGATATGATAAGTTGCTAACTCAAATGTAAGGATTATTATTTATTTTTACAGCACCAGCTAACATTTGGAGATCAGTCTTAAGGTGCGATTTTAAGGCGAAGCTTACAGAACTCGTCTGACTTTGGTTAATCGATCGAGAAGTGGGACTGACAATGACAATGAAATTGAACGGTTCTGCTTCACCGAGGCCGCCACACTTCATTCTAAAGATGGTCACGTGAGGTCAAGGGGTGCCTGCCAACGAGAGAAAGGGGGAAAATAAGGAAAAAATGTCCACAAATTAGGATCTCAAAATTGCCATGGTAATCTGACCTAATATTGTTAACCATGAACTCTCAGTGATTAAATGCAATATTCAAAACCGTACATTTATAGTTTGCAAAGGTTTTCAATTTTTTTATAATTCATGCGAGTTTAAAATAATGCACTGTACGAATAGTACAGAAATTCTTACCATTCATCGGAAACGATTGTGTTGACAGCATTCGGTAGAATAATCCTTGCTAAGCAATTAACTGTGACTGACATTTATTGTAATATTACCACACGCTGACAGTCAGCAAACAGTTCATTTTAAGGAACAAAAATTCAAATATTTTGAATGGGAAGGTTTTATTCTCCTGTGAGGTGCAATAAACAACCATTCTGGTCAACTTCTAGGAACCAAAGAGACCAAGACACATTTGTTGAAATAAAGTCTAGCATCGCTGAAGTGTGTGGTGTGTGTATGTGTGCAGAGTTAAGTAAAATGGTGCCGTTTTTCTGATGCATTTCCTTTCTTGAGATCTGGCTCAGTTTTTCAGTCACGTATGTTGTAGTTTCTAATCTTTGCAGCTTTGGTTAAACGTTTTGGTTTCTTTGGAGTTTCAGCAAGGTGCTTGGCTTTTGTTCTGCTCTTGATGTCAGCTTGAATGCCTTTCACATTAAGTGTTGGTTCCCTTCCTGTTACCTTTGTAGAACTGTTGGGTTTTATGGACGGCACCGACTCTCTGTTGGTCTCGGGTCTTTTCAAACCTCCTCCAGCTGGGGAATAATGTTTTTTAAAAAAAAGTTAAGCTTCTCTATATACTCACTACCTTTGCATGAACAATTTTCAACTGTACAACGTTGGGGACAGGAATGTGTTACACTCACTTCCTAACATGGGTTGGAAACTCTGACAACATCCACAATGAATCTTGATGTTGTGCTTGTGTGTAGCTTTCTGTAAATCACAGCTGTTACGTCACCTCCACAACTCTGCCGTCTTTATTCATGCAGGGGAACGTGTTACTTGTACCGATTTGTTATCCCTGCGTGATCAAGCAGGTACTTTTCAACCTTAAAATTGGACGCGATTCAGTACTCTCAATCGGTTCGCGTAAACCTCACGGCAGCTCCAATTAGATTTGCAAAAAAATGGATTGTGGGCTTGCATCAGCACACTCCGCATTAAGAAAAAAAGATGCAAAAATGTAAATGGTGCTTTAGAGATTCCGTAAAGATTTGATTCAAGTCTGATTTTGTCAAGTCTTTTTCTTGTTCCTGTTCAACAAAACCAGTCTACCTTTTGCTGACATTTTAAGGCTCGCTCTTTCTCCTAAAATCAACCTACAGCTGCTTTCGTACCTCCCTCTCCCCTACACACCAAACTGCCCACGTACTGCATCTTTTTTTGAATCCCTTGAAACCTTTTTTTGTTTTTAACCAGGAAATGCTTCAGGAAAGGTACCGTGTGCGTAATAATAATAATCCTCACATTTGATATAGCGCCTTATCACGTCTTTGAAATGTCTCAAAGGCGCTTCACAGAATAAATTGTAAAGTGATCGACTGTATTTTGTGGGGCGCAACACGGCAGCCAATTGCGCACAACAGTGTCCTACAAACAATCGTGGATTGAAGGACCAATTTTTTTTTTGCATAGTCATCCTTGAAACATTTCATTTAAACCTCTTTCTAAGTTTGTGAAAGAGTTCAGCTCAGCTGAAGTGAATTGAAATTGCAGACTCTTGTGGAAAAGGGACGAGGTAAATTACAGACACTGCAATCGCTGTATCTGAACTTGAATTCTGACACAAGGATTCCAAATGTGGAAAAACTGTCTCTTTACTGTAACCTTGTCTGGCTTTTATTGCACAACTGCCCAGTGCAGCTGAGGTTCTGATCAGGTCATCACGGTCTATGTGCCAAAATAGTGGCTCTACAGTCTTCCGATATCTGTTAATCATTTATTCACTCAGGTTTCTGCTGAAAGATAGCCAAGTGGTTCACTGATGTACACACAATCTGAAGTGTCTGAATTACTACTGATACCATCCCAAACCGATAACCTCTCCTGCCAGTCACAGAAACTGCCTGTGTAGTCGGAGCGTTCCCAAGATAAAAACCTGTAGAATTAAAACGCAAAAATGCCTGATTTGAAATGTGTAACAAAATGAAATAAAATCTGAATCTCGGGTGCAGCTGGATTCTGTCAATCAAAGAAGTCCGGGTTTGCACAGGTCTTGTCAAATGGCAGGATGGAAAGAGCTACCTAGGTTTGCCAACGTTGCTAAGAGACCAGGAAGAGACTAAGGAGGAAGTAGAAAATGATGAGGTAGCAGGCAGAGATGTTAGATGTGGAAGGCAGAAAATATCCTGCTTTCTATGTTTGCTTACATTTCTCTGCACCATTAGTTTTTACCATAAAAAGCAGGGAAACAATTCAACTGTTGAGACAGTTTTATCCATGGTATATGTGAAGGTAAATCAAAATCGCTGAGGAAGAATTTGTGGTCTTTAAACGTACATTTCTCAGTGTATACATAGAGTTCTTCCCTAACATTTTCTCTCCAGCTTTTCCTCTACCTGTCCATAGGACATAGGGCTAGCTGAGAAATGTTCACATAAAGCAGCCATCTTTGTAAGTTCTCTATGTAAACTCTGATCCAGAAATCCCGTCGAGACCTTCCTCTTTGACTGTGCTTTCGGTCATCTTTTCCCCTCCCCCCTCAGCCTCCGCCCCCAGCTCGGTCACAAACCCTGGACTATTCCGCGCCTTGGCATGTCCTCCCGACGTGAAAGGAGCTATATGAATGTAAACTTGCTATTATTGTAGTGAAAGTTGTCATAAAATAAAAAACAAGTTTGAGAAACAACAGATAGGTTCCCACGCAAATTCTTTGGGACCAGACAGATAGAACTGTAATGGTGCATTTTGATCCTGTACATTTCCCAAGCTCCCGTTATTTCATTATACTGTGCCTTTGAGCTCTTCTCACCTGATTCAAGCCAGAAATTGCTGAATCTCACTCCCTGACCTTGTGAAGCTGCCAGGTCTGTGCAGCACAGTACCCACATGTTCTTTCACTAACATGCTGCATTGTGACATGTTCGTTTGTGTGTTACAACACAACGTTTGTGGCACAATTCAAAGAAAATCTTTAATAGAGATCTCTGTGGGGTAATCTAAAGTGAGTTAAGTTAAAAGCAACATCCTTCAGTTTCCTAAAACAACCTCAAAAAACACTTACAATATAGATATGTCTTCAAGTATCTGAACCACATGTGGAACCCCCTAGTTTAATTAAATAGCACACCCCACCACAACTTGCCCAGAAGACATGCTAAATATTGGTTCACTTTTGGCTATTTTTCCTGCCATTACCACTGGCACAAAGACAGATTATTGTGATAGGTCAAGTGGCTAATTACCTGATTAATTTCCCCAATTTCAGGCTCTAGTTGATGAGGTAATCACTGATGGATCTTTTGGTATAACAAAACTGCCTTCATATGCTTGGCAAGTAAATAACCTAAGTTTTTCCAGCAAAGCATCTTCTAATGCCCACAGGCAGAAAACTCCATAGAAAATTATTGGATGATGATGCATCATGACAAGTGCTATGGTTATTCCATCAGATAATTAAATGCTTGAGACATTTTCCAGACATGAAAGATGCTTTATAGATGAAAATAGATGAGATTATGTCTACCATAACTACATAGACATTTGGTTACAAAATACATTCACTACACTTTACCATGTATCCTGTAAAGTGACACAGCGATTGAGACCTCTTGATGTTAAAGATGCTATAACAAATGTATGGATTATTTTATAGTGAGGGATGTTAGGTCACACGAATGAAATAAACACTTGGCTTTCCAATATTCTGATATCCACTTTAAAATAATTATTTTCTACAATAATCTTGCATTAAAATTGTCCTGCATCTTTTTCAATGTTTGTACACTAAATATCTGAACTAAGCTAGTTGCTTCCTCCTCTCCTTGCATACCTTGTACAGTGTTGTCTTGTGGAGAACCTATCGAGGGGCTGGAACCTCTCTCCAACATTTGCCAGATATCCTGAATAGAGCTATCGGTTCCATAAGATGACATCAGTGGACTGATCACAGGTTGCAATCCGCTGGGTTCTGGCATAAGAAGGTTTTGTGGTTGGCTGGTTGCCAAGAGTGCACTTTCCTCTGTTATACTGGTTACAGGTTTTCCTGTCAAAGCTGCAGATAAATTCTGTAAATCAACAGAGAATAATCAGTCCATCTTGGAGAATCGGCTAAAAAGAAATTAAGAGTGGCCTTGCAAAATGCAATGTTCCTACATTATTAAATTCCAACAGCTCACAACCTGCAACCACTTAACATTGTGCAATACATCAGCTCCTGTAAACTACTGAAATTTGCTGCAAAATGCATTTATTTACATTGCATATGCAGAGCGCTCCTCATCAGTTATCTCTAAATTAGGGAGACCGTGTTGGAGTGCAATTAGACTGGATCTTTGGACAATGTGTTTTGTGGATCAGTGGACTGAAAGAGTGAGGAACAAAAGTAAGCATTATTTTATTGAGAGTGTTCTTCGCTAGGTAAATTTCCCTTAGGTACTATCCACCAAGGAAATATTTCTGCTTTCAACATCCAAACAACAACAACAACTTGGATTTATATAGTGCCCTCCATGCCGGACGGTGTCTCAGAGCACTTCACAGCAAACGGATCCCGGGACCGAGCCAGGGGGAGGGGGAGGAAGGTGACCAAAGGCGTGGTTGAAAAGAAAGGTTGAAAAGAAAGAAAGCTGAAAATGGGAAGGAAGGGAGCGAGGCGAAGGGAGTGAGCAGTTCCAGAGCCTCGGGGCATAGTAGCTGAAGGTACAGCTGCCGAGGGTGGAGCGGAGGACTCGGGGGACGAGGAAGAGGCCAGACCCGGAGTAACGAAGGCAACGGGTACTGTTTTGAGGACAGAGGAGGTCAGAGAGGTAGAGGGTTGCAGAGGAATGCAGGGATTTGAATACAAGGGTGAAACAGTTTAACCACTGAAAATTCCAACACCACATTTGCTCTCTGCAAGCAGATACATGTCTGCTGAGAGTTTGTGCAATAGCCTGGGTTCAAGAATCCGGCTGAGAATGTGATCTTTGTTGCCACCTATCGATGAGAATGGAACATTGTTCCACAGTGGCTGAGAAAATTTTAGCTGCTGGAAAACTCGGTTGAAAGTCTCATCCGTAGGATGGCACCTCTGACAATGCAATGCCCCCCCGCCCACCCCAGCACTGCATTGGAGTGTCATCTTAGACTCTGCTTCAGAGGCGAGAGTGCTACCACTGCACCAGGCTGACACATAACTGGATCACCTGGGTTAAAACATTGTAGAGGTGTGCTTAAGCCTGATTTGATCTCCTTGTAGTAGTGCATTTACCTGATACATTGGATCCAGAAAGCTGATGCTGTAATAGGTATATGGCCTAGATTTGTAGCTGTCATACTCTTTCGCTTGGTATAGTTTTACTAAATAGGTTTCCTATCTCACTCCACATTACTCTGCTGTTCAAAGTTGTGTTGAACTTATGTTTTAAAGTGCTTCTCTGGGGGAATGCCTCCCGTCCCCAGTGGCAGACGCATATATAGGGCAACCTCATTACAGCACCGTCATTGGGTCCAATATCCAACACCTCACGTTAAGCAAAATGTGAAGAAATAGCTGTGATGAAGTCAGTTTGATCCACTTCCTGCACGAAGGAAGCAACGTTTGTGAGGCTTCCTTGCACAGTCAGTCAATTTTTACTGCTTCCGTGTAGGAAGCCAGAGGTATATCGCTCTTCAGGTAACTGTGAATCCATTGGGCACCCACATTAAAAGCAAACCTAGTTAGGCACCTAACAGGGGCTGCCCTGTTATAGAATTCAGTCTGGCATTTTGTGAATGAATACATGGGAAATACAATCTAGAACGACGTCCGCTAAGTAGTAAAGACAAATGATTAGTTGAAATGCGAAGGAAGTTATACAATAGCATAACTTTACATTGATCACCAATGCAGTACTGAGGTCTATGAGGCAAATTTATTGCGTTGGACAATGTTCAAAGTCGAGTAAAAATTAAGCTCATCAAGTAAAGTCATAACTCAGCCGGTGTTTGCTACGGCTAGGCTTCACATCTATCGCTACAAAGGGAAACAGCTCCTTTAACTCGATCATTCCTTTAACCAAGTCAGTTGGAAAGAAACGTACATTAAAACCAGTGCAGGGTATTTTAATTTGAACAAGATTTCTCCTCTGAATTGTGGAAATCAACCTTACAGTTCAATTAAACACATCAGTGACACTTACTGCTTGGTCAATACTGGAACTGATTGGGCTAAGGTTTTTCCTTTGAAGTTCCAGTACAATTTAGACACCTGGATAATTCAAGTTCTCCCCACCTTTGATCTCAAGTCAGCTTTTTGTAATAGTTACTCAAGCACCACAATAACCTCATTCTGTAATCTCTCTCGCACCTTACCCCATTTGTGGTACATCCAACCCCTGCAGTATTGTTTTCCCAGGGATTGTGGTTTATTTCACTTTCTGGGGAACTCCGTCGCGCAGTAGTGACAACTTGTTTAAACTGTTGCCTCTGTGCGTATTCCAGCTCCTGAAATTAAACAAAAATTGCCCAATGTATTCAGTTACATTCTACATGATCCAATATCTTTTCTGAAGCCTTCTTAAGAGTCTTTTAGGAGGTTATATTGTAATTAAAACCCTCTCTGAAGACGGCTAAGCAGAAAGAACATGCAGTACCGATAGTTTATCTCAAGAATAGCCTATTTCTTGGATGAAGGACTTCAAAAATATTAATGTAAAATTTAGATTGTGAATCTCCAGATTGTCGGTTGCTGAGTGCAGGCTGAGCTGAATTGCAGGGCCTTGCTGAGATGGATCAAGTCCCATGGTTCCATAGCAAATCTCACAAAGTACAGAATCACAAACCCATCACACAATAAAATAGTAGGTCTTTTGTAACTGAGTGAATAACAAATGCTGAGTATGGCATTTAATTTGCAGGGATTTGTACGAGGATATGGGAATATGTGAACATATCATGATGTGTCTCATGAGAACTGGCCTTAATTCCACTCGGATATAAATTTAATTTCAACTTTCAATGAAAGGAGGCTCCTAGCAGTATCTGAGCGAAAACCTGATGTCTAGTATGAAATATCACTTTGCTTCCACCACCAACAACAACATTACATTTGTATAGCGCCTTTCACGTCGGGAGGACATCCCAAGGCACTGAACAGTCAGAATTTCGGACCCAAACTTGGGGTCACGATTGGGGAGGGTGGAGAGCAGTGGGGGAAGCAGGGTGATCGAAAGTACGGTTGAATGGAGGGTCTTGAGATGGGTCTTGAAGGAGGCAAGGGAGGGGATGAGATGGAGGGACTGCGGGATGGAGTTCCAGAGGGAGGGGGCAGGCAGGGGACATGAAGTAGGCCGAGCCGGCTGAGCAGAGGGAGCAGGCAGGATGGTAGGGGTTTAGGAGGTCGCAAAGGTAGGGGGGAGCAAGGCCATGGAGGGCTTTGAAGGTGAGAACCAGGATCTTGAACTGTATCCTCTGTGTGATATGAAGCCAGTGGAGTTGGGCAAGGATGGGGGTGATAGGGTCACGGAGCCTGGTGCGGGAGAGGACCCGGGCTGCAGAGTTCTGGATGATCTGCAGCCCGTGGAGGGAGGAGTTGGGGAGCAGAGCAAATAGAGGGGAAGAAATGCAATTTTTAAAGAATGTCAGATTGCCAGAAATGTAACAATAATGTCTGCAGGTTAGAGATTGTTTCCTGCATGTTTTCTAGCAAGTTGATTCACAGCCACTACATTTTAAATGAGGTGGGTGTGACTTGCACTGCACTCACTCTCCCACGAGCTGTTGAAAGCTTTCAGTGGTTCATTGAACGCCAAGATTGCCCAACTGACTCTGTAATAATATTAAAACAATAACACTTGGTTTAGGTGACGTACCCAATGTGAAGTGCATCATGTGTTGAGCGTGTGTGCACCATGATTATTTAACATTTTAAAAAAAAAGGATTCCTTTGGTCTGCCATCATGAATTGGTCAGTGTAAGGTCAGGGGGTGATAAAGCTGCAAGGATGTGAAGAAGCCATAGGAGGAAAGGAATAATAATAATAATCCTTTCATTTAATGTAGCGCCTTATCACATTTTCAAGACGTCTCAAAGTGCTTCACAGAATATACTGTAAAGTGAATTGACTGTATATTTTGTGGGCGAAATGCAGCAGCTAATTGGACATAGCAGCGTCCCACAAAGAGTCATGGATTAAAGATGGAATAGAGTGGTGAGGAGAGAAATGGCTATAAATGGGTCGTTGTTAAGGCTGGCAGGTGTATTAGATACTGTAAACTATGATGCACTTCATTACCTGTGTGGTGAGTTGGTACTGAAGGTGCTCTAGAGCAGAAAGACGCCTCTGTGCCAGTTGTTTGGGAGACTGAGAAGGGAGGACTGATTGATTTAAAGCCATAGAGGGCTGAGAAACTGCAAGAAAGAGGCAACATACAATAGTATCTGTGAGATGATAAATTCAGAATGAGACCTTTATACAAAACTGCAATTGATATCTCCACTGCAAAACATATTCTTCAAATACCAGTGGTATCAGTCATGTATTATTAACTGAAACATAATTACTGATTAAGACATTTGTTTGAAACATAATGCTAAAATAATCCTCCAAATGATGCTCCCTCCCTAACCCAGAGAGTAATTGTGATTTCCTGGCTGAGAGTTAAGAGCACATTGGGATTTAAACCTATGAACTTCTCATCCGTGAATTTATAATGAAAAAATCACATTTATTAGTGAGCTGATTGTCAAAGACTCCACACTAAACAACAAGAGGAATTTCTGCAATGATGAGAGTCTCTGATCCAAATGCCAGAACAGTCTAAAATCTGTTACTGCTATCAGAAGAACCAAAAGTACCTTGTTTCACTGGAATCTTACCTTTAACTAATGGCTCATCCTTCCTGACTAGCAGAGCGAAAAATCTTGCAGCAGAAGAGGTTCTGCTGCAGGCAGTGCCGTTTAGTACAAGCAGAGCTGCACGTTTACTGGTTTTCCTTATTGTAAAATGGAGATGCTCCTGTCGAATACTTCAGCTAGCAGCCAATAACAACAACAAGAAGCCAATTTGGGGACTGACATAGTTCAGCTGACAGAGATGGGGGGTATTTTGTATTTCAGGCTGACTTATAAGAATTATCTACAAATATTGGGTCAGTAGGTTTGGTAGACTTGTCTCTCCCTCCATCCCTCCACGTCGACCCTCCTTCCCCATTTTCAGATCACACCTGAAGACCTTCCTCTTTAACCGTGCTCACGGTCATCTCCCTATCCCCCCAGCTCGGGGACAATTTTTGCCACTGTTAAGCGCTCTGCATGAGGGTACATTGTTGTTAGGAAGCAAATACACTATTGACTTTGCTGCTGGGCATTTAACAAACAGTTTGAATGAAATTACATTAAAATAAATGAATAATAATAATCCTTGCATTTCATACGAACAGACAGAGACTGGCAGGATTTGTAGTTCATAAAACATTATTATATTAATAGTGGCACAAGTTTTTTTTTAAAGAACTGAATTTGAGGAGGATAAGTTTGCAGAGCTATGGGGCGAGAGCAGGGGAGTGGGATTGAATTGGATAGCTCTTTTCAAAGAGCTGGTACAGCCACGATGTGCCGAATGGCCTTCTTCTGGCTGTATAATATGATTCTATGAATTAAATTTTACTCTATGGAATGAAAAACTTTAATCTAAAAAACAGTTAGTGACGTGACTCGTGATGTAATAATAATAATAATCCTTGCATTTAATATAGCGCCTTATCACGTCTTCGAGATGTCTCAAAGCGCTTCACGTACCATCCAATCCAGATCTCAGCAGTTCTGCTCGGAGTCTGTTTCCCATTTCAATCAGTTGCTGTTTCTCACGTGCCAAGCGACTGATGTGACGAGCTGCCTGCTTTAGTTTGGCTTGTAAAACCGATGCACTAGAGCTCGACTGTTTCAAGGGGCCACTGACTGATGCAGAGTTGGATACTTGCTGACGTAGGCGGAGGGTCTCTTCCTGAAGTTCCCTAATAAATGCACTCTGGATCAGAGAAGGAGCAAACAGACAGTCACCACCTCACCGGATATACATGAGTGACTAAGAGTTTAGGCTTCAGCAGTTTTCAAATGTTTGCGAAATAAACATGTACCTGTTCTACCACCACTGGGGCACGGCCACTTAGTAAATCCAACTTTAGAGCTGAAACCTGCAGAGAAAATTAACCATTTAATCTGCTGACTTTCTCCCTTCTGCTCTTCACAGATTGTTTTCCAGCTACGAGAACGGCAGGTAATCTGCTTCCATGCCTCCAGCAATGACTTTCTTGACTCAACCACTCTCTTGAACCAACCACTAAGAAGTGAACGATAGCAGCACCTATGTGTGAACATGTCCATTTGTTTATGATCCTTCATGGAGGAGAATCCATTCATGAAGTTGGATCTCATGGTTGAGGGCATCCACTCCTACATTGTTTTACACTGGAAAGAGGAATTGAGCTGACATATGCAGCAGATTTTGATATGACTCTCAGTCCATTGCCTTGGAGACAGACAAGACAGAGTTGACTCCCTTTTATTTATCTCCCATCTGCTGGTGTCTGTTGAAACTGCTTATGAAAAATATATTGGACCTTTCGGGTTAAGCCCAACATGCGATTTCTCTCCTTACCTCATTTCCTAACGCCACAGTTTCCAGGTTTTGTTGAAGGTTACCCCTGAAATACTCATCTGCTTCTCGGCGTGTTTCCGATAACTGTAACTCCAATTCCGCAACTCGCTCTTTCAGTCTCATTATTTCTGCATTGCTTCTCTGCGTGTGGCTGGTGATTTCATATTGCAGCTGATTGATTTCCACTTGCTTCTGACGAACCTGTGAGGAAGGGAATCGTTTAAAAAAAGTGCTCCTTAAAGAGTCTCAAGGACTGAAACTCAGGGGGGACTGAACATGTCTGAATACTCGGTTCACTGACATCAGTAGCAGGATTCAACAACGAGCAGCCTCACTGAATCAGCGAGCTTGCTGCCCTTTTTAATCCTCAATAACTGTTCAAAGTCAGTAGTCATTTTCAAATGAAATATTGCCAGGTATTTGTTTGGAGACAGTTACAATGTGTGTGTGTGTGTGTGATTTGAATTTTTTTTTGTGAAATCTTACCTGTTGGGTGAGCTGTGTAACTGCAGAATCTAAGTGCACAATCCTGGCTTCGTGCTTCTTTATTGTGGCAGCAGCTGAAACCTTCTCAGCACGAAGACCACCTAACAGTGAAGAGATTAACTGATGCACACATAAATCACTCGATCGCATAGGGAGAAGCACAGTAATGTTTCTAAAACCTGTTTGACACTGTTGACTTATTCCCTTTTGTATATTTCCTGGAGTGATTTTGCCAGTGGCGGAGGAGAGCTCGGTGTAAACGTGGGCAATTAAACGCTTACGCATAACTACTAAACAGATGACAAAAATAAAAATATTATTAAAAACTGTGGAAATCAAGCTTCCAAATTTTGACTGAATTTAAGCAACTTCTGAAATTCTGCACACTATCGAATTTCTAGATATTGATCTAAAGGCAATTACTTAAAAAATGTGATCCTTTACCTGAAGGTGGTGCTGTTAGAATTAAATATTTGCAACTTTGTTTTGTTAAACAGTCAGGACAGGCTTCTATAACAGTATCTTAAATGCAGGGCAGGAAGTAAGAAACAGCTCATTGTAAATCATTCTTGGCTTGAATAATACAATCTCTGTATACCCACCCTTCAATATATTTTCTTATTCTGACTAGCCCAAGTTGGGAAATGCAAGGCTTAGAGAGTAATACAACTTAACTATATGGACTAGAAAGAAACGGGATTTGAAATCCAGTTTGAATGAGCTGATTTTAGATGAAACATCAGATTGGGGAAGGTACATTTGGGCTTAGCTGAGCTGTGATCCTTGCTTCTGATCATTGTGTGCATTCCCTACTTGAATGTACACATGTGGATGTCGTGCGAAGATCAGTCTCACCTATGGTCTCATTTAAGGTACGGATGTGGTTCTGAAGATAGGCATTGTCTGCAGAAATGGGAAGGCCTGGGAGGGGAACACGGGTCTTATTAGATGCCTTTGAAATATCTTCCAGTTGTTCTTCCAACTTTCTGCACTTATGTTTCAATCCACCAACCTCAACTTCCAAAGATTTGACATACTCTGTGAAAAGGAGGAATATTACACTGATTTTAATTTGTGATAAGAACATTGGAGATGTTCCTCAGTTTGGTTGAGCATGATGTACAACATGATGAAAGCAACAACATGATGTGTTTCTCAATATGGTACACCCTACTAATTACACATGCAAATTCTTCAAACCCTCTTCCAAGAAACAATAAGATGCAAGTTCATGAACCCAATTCCTAATGTGGTCTGGTTGATCAAACTATCTTTGACCATTTCAACAGAGAAGTAAACAAATCAGATACAGACCCCGTGCTTTATGATTCAGCTGAAAGAAATGAGTTATGTTCAGTTACAAATGCACAGGCTCTACACTTTATGTTAAAATCCCTGTTAACAACAACATAGCGCCTTTCAGGTCAGGAAGACGTCCCAAAGCGCTGGGCAGTCAGTGTTTCGGAAATGAGCTGGGGGAGCTCTTTGACAACATGATGAAGATTATTATTACATTATTCTTATTGTACTAATGAGGTGGGGCACTCTATCTAACAGCTGCTGAATTTGGTCACACCAATGTTACGCATTAAAATGCTTCAGACCTGGATTTGCAGAATGTGGCTATCTTTTTGCCCACCACGTTTTTAAGACCTACTGAAAGCTAGCTACCTGGAGTATATGAGGTAAGAGGGCCATTCTGCAATGCCTCTTTGGAGTTCTTCATTGACCTCGCGTTGTCGTGTAGTTTGTCCTTGCTCTGGTTAGCTGGAATATGCTCGCTGAGTGTCTCCATTTCTTTCCTCATCTGGCCAATTACAATCCGCAAGTTCAGGTTTTGCTGCTGAAGCTTCCGGAAAGCATCTGAAGGGAAATCCATACCATCCCGGCCTCCTCCCCCAGGTACTGAAGCCTGTTATGATTGAAGATAAAAGCTTTCTTTCAATTGTTCCAATTAATAATAATAATCCTTGCATTTGGTACAGCGTCTTATCACGTCTTTGAGACGTCTCAAAGCGCTTCACAGAATTGACTGTATATTTTGTGGATAGGGCAGTGGGATTGAAAATACAGTTTGTTCCAAGAGCAGGTACAGACTATACTGTGAAGTGAATTGACTATATATTTTGTGGGCGAAACACAGCAGCCAATTGCGCACAGGAGTGTCCCACAAACAATTGCAAAGAAATGGTCTTAAATGGCTTCATTGCGTAAGACAACTTTGGAATAATAAGCACTTTCACTGATATGCGTCAAGAAGATGTCAAGAAAACAAAGTTATTAATCCTATGCATAATTAACAGACCTCTCCACTAGAGGGCATAGTTATATCATACAAAATTACATTTGTAAAGCTCCTTTCACGTCAGGAGGACATCCCAAGGCACTCGTAGTTATGTAGTTACATCCTGAGTGTAAGACGACAAATTTATTAAAAACATTTCCAGCATTTATTTTATTCACAGAAAAATTATAATACCATAACCTTTGCAGTTTCCTAATTGGCTAAGGATCTATTCCTGAAAAATACAACTAATGAAACTGTTTGTGGATTGTACTTGTTAATGTGTCAAGTGATGTGTGATTACGTCTACACTCCTTGGGTCCAGGCTCTCTGAGGTAGGCTGCTGAAGAAAGCATATGCGCCCAGAGTAAAACAGGGTGTCCACGGGTGCAATATATCTTGTGGATTTATCCATCGAGACTAGAGTTAAAGGCTGCCTCCCTGTTAATTTCTTCAGCCATAGCACCTTTGTCCTCTGGAACTCTCCTCTAAAACCAATTTGTTACTTATCTTCCTGTTAATTGTGAATTATTAAAGAACCTGGTGTGATAACCATCTTATAAGCTATGCCTGGGATAGATCAGAGGTTTACTTCTAGTAAATGTTCAAGGTTACCTCAACTTTCTGCCCGAGGAGATTCTTTCTTTTAAAAGGTATGAAAAGCCCCTTTAGAAAAGCTTTGCTGAGGGTCTGCTGCAATCATTGAAGGTACCATCCTTCAAGTTAAACTGAGCTTGCCTGTTTACATGGATATTATTTGAAAAGACAAAGGAGTTTCTCTCGGTATCCCTGCCAACAATTCCCCAGGTAAAATTGGTCATTCACTTTGTGGCTGTTTGTGTGACATTGCTGTGCCCAAATTGGCTGCTCTATTCAACTACAAATATACAGTCACTACACTTCACAGTAAAAGTCTGTGAAGCACTTAGAGATGTCTCGACGACATGGTAAAGCACTATATCAAATGCAAGGATTATTATATTTACGGATATCAGACAACCTTACTCAGTTAAGACAGTGGAGCAAGACACTATGCCCTTCAGGTTGCATCTGGACCTCAAGGGCATTAGTTGTGAATTGTTGAAAACATTTTGGGAGCCTACAATAATGCTATTTTTGTTGCTCCGGTAAGTGAGATTGCTTCAATGCTGGTTAACATCAAAAATTTATGTGAAGAGCTGAAGAAAAGTACGAGAGCTGCAGTAGACGCCAGTGCCTTCTCTAGAATCCTCTAAAGTGACGTGCAGCACGACTCACTGTATAATATTCCAAATCCAAATCCCTGGGAGTGCTTGTATTTGTGTTTGAATTCGAGCTGGGTGCTACAATCGGCCTCAGCGTCGCAGGCTAAAAGGCAAAATAATAATGCAGGGGATTTCCATTCCGCAAAGATTTTCCATTTCACCTTATACAGGAAACTATATCATCACACCCCAAATTATGATGGCATAGGACAATTTTGACAAACGATTCATAATACAGTATTTCTTAATTATTTCAGCATCTGCCAGCAGCAGGAAGTTGAATTCTGAAAAAAAATGTCACAGCTCGATTTCTGGAAATGTTTCTAAAATTGTTATTGTCAATGCAGTGCTGGCGGGGGGGCAAGCTGCGTTGCCGGAGGTGACGTCCTTTAGACGAAACATTAAACTGAGGCCCTGTCTGCTTGATCAGGTGGACGTTAAAGATCCCGTGGCATTATTCAAAAGGAGAAGGGAATTTCTCCCAGTATTCTGACCAATAATACCACAAATTAATCAACAGCTCCATGACTGTTTGTGGGACATTGTGCACCACTTTACAGTAATATCCTGTGAAGCGCTTTGAGACGTCTCAACCACGTAATAAGGCACTATATCAAATGCGAGGATTATTATTATACTAAAGGCTTTGTTTTCTACTTCTTAAGCTATAACATGACCAGCTTCTGGCTGAACAGGCTGATCTCATTTTCCATGTGTGCCAAACAAGGAGCTTGGCATACATTGCTAGTGATGAAGATGATAAAGGAAAAGTAGCTTTTGACAGGATTTTTTTTAATGAGATCAAGTTTTGCTTAATACCCTCGTAAACAATGAGCATTTTGTTCACCTCACTTTAAAGAAAGGTTTTGCTCTGAGGCTAAAGAGGTCTCAGGAAAGAAAAGGTTGCACTGAAGGATGCTATAACAGAGTTTTCCTGCTTCACTTATTGATGCTGAAAGCCTTACTTAGCCTGTTGTTATAATAATGTGCTGAGTTTCACCAGAGAGGCTGAACATCATTATGACAAGCTCAGAAACCCTACTGTCAACATTTGTGTGCCAGGGCTTGAAATAAACGTTCTCTCACTTCATCAGCAGCATTGATTCCTTTATATAAATGGACACCAATTAATAATAATAATAATACTCACATTTGATATAGTGCCTTATCACATCATTGAGATGTTTCAAAGAATTTTACAGGATATACTGTAAAGTAGATTGAATGTGTATTTTGCAGCCGCAGCCAGTTGCGCACAGCAATGACCCACAAACAACAACAACAAGATTTCACGTCGGGAGAACGTCTCAAGGCGCTGGACAGTCAGTGGTCAGGACCCGAGCATGGGGCAGGGGTGGTGTAGGGGTGAGGGGAGGCAGAGGGGTGGGAAGGCGACTGAAGGCGCGATTGAAGGAGGCAAAGGAGGAAGCGAGGCGAAGAGACAGTGGGATGGAGTTCCAGAGTGTGGGGGCAGAGAGGCTGAAAGCTCGGCCACCGATGGTAGGGCGAGTCGGGTGGGAGACATGGAATGGGCTGGAGCCCGCTGACCGGAGGGTTTGGGCAGGATGGCAGGGGGTCAGCAGGTCAGAGAGGTAGGAGAGGGCAAGGCCATGGATGGTCTTGAAAGTGAGGACGAGGATCTTAAATTCGATCCTCTGAGGGATGGGGAGCCAGTGGAGTCAGGCGAGGGTGGGAGTGATGGGGTCATGGAGCCTGGTGTTCGAGAGTACACGAGCTGCAGAGTTTTGGATGATCTGCAACTTGTGAAGGGAAGAGTTGGGAAGGCCGATGAGGAGGGAGCTTCCATAATCGAGCCTTGATGTGACAAATGCGTGGGTAAGGGTTTCGGCAGCCTGAGGGGTGAGGCAGTGGTGGAGTCTGGTGGCAGGCAGTGGTGGTGGCAGGCAGTGCTGGTCATGGAGCCAATGTGGGGGAGAAAGGACAGTTCAGGGTCAGGTTCCTGACTGGCTTAGTGAGGTTGAATGTGCAGCCATGGAGGCTGATGCTGCCAGCGTCCGAGGTGCGGAGGCACTGGCGCGAGCCAATCAGGAGGGCCTTGGTCTTACTGACGTTCAGTTGGAGAAAGTTGTCCCTCGTCCAGGAAGTGAGTGACCAATTTTATTTAGGAGACTGTCGGCCAGGACACCAGGAGAAACTCCCTTCTCTTTTCGAATAGGGCCATGTGATCTTTACCATCTGCCTGAACAGGCAGAAGGGACCTCGGTTTAACATCTCAACCGAAGGACGGCACCTCCAACAATGCAACAACCCCCCCAGCACTGCACTGGAGTGTCATCTTAGACCGTGTGATTCCAAGTCCCGACGTGGGGCATTAATCCACAGCCTCAGACCCAGGCTGACACACATGGATTTAAATCAACAATTGGTTTTCCAGGGTTGTATTATCCAGCCAGTCAGATTTTGCAGGTGACTTGGCATAATAATAATAATAATAATCCTTGCATTTGATATAGCGCTTTTCACGTCAGGAGGACGTCCCAAAGCGCTTCACAGAACACACTGTAAAGTGAATTGACTGTATATTTGTGGGCGAACGCGGCAGCCAATTGCGCACAGCAATGTCCCACAAACAGTCGTAGATTGAAAATGACCAATTTAATTATTGTTTTTGGTTTTGGAGGGATTATTATTAGGCGTGTGGAGTAAGGAAACTTGCCCAAGGTTTCGCCCTGCCTGGAATTGAACTCAGGTCTCTCACTTGCAAAGCGAGTGCTCTAACCACTGAGCTACAGGACTCCATGTCTGAAATTTGAACCCAAACACCCCATTGCAAACGTGACTGTTTTGAGAAGCAAGCAAATGCTTCATTAATTCATTTGAGCCCTGTGGTCAGTGCCCTAGTTTTGAAAACTGCAGCATAAAAATCGAGATGCTAAAAGCAAAGAACTCCAAAATGCACTCGTTTCTCGGAACATTTTATGTACCAATTATGTTATAGTGCTCCAAATTTGGATTCATTTCAGGAATGAAATGAGCTGAGCAGAGACTGTTCATACTCGGTTCTATCAGCAGGGGAGATTTTCACCCCAGCACTCTGATCTGGTTTTGAAACAGATTATAGTGGTGGAAAGGCTAAGCCAATAATAAAATACTTATAATAATCCTTGCATTTGATATAGCGACCTATCACGTCTTTGAGACGTCTCAAAGCGCTTCATGTTGTAAAGTGAATTGACTGTTTATTTTGTGGGTGAAATCCCATTATTTTACTTTCTTTAAAAGAAATACTGAATATAACTGCAGTGGCATATTGTCTTTTTTCATCCCTTCGTCCCTCCCCACCCCCCCCCCCCCCTTGACATAGTTTTTTTATTCACCAACTAAATATCCCCTGACTGTATTAACTTGCCTCGTTGGTTCAGTTTATGTATTTGGAGAATTCCTTGTTGCGCTTTATCTTATTAGCGAGGAACTTTCAGATAACTGGCAGCTATCTAATAGGATATATTAGCAAATAAATCTTTTTCAAAGCACACTTCAATACTGTTCACTATTTGATTAACAAACAACTTGAAAGTATGTGGATTTATTTTGTGTAAATCAAGACTCTTGAACAGGGACAGAAAAAATGGCCAGTTTTTGTGCTGTATCACCTAACCTCACACACCACAAAAGAAAACAAAACCTATTATATAATGATTTTTTTTTGTTCAGCCAGGTATCTCACATGTGAAAACTCATCACCATGTTTAAGCGCATCCAAAACACACAGTTTGATGCATCCCACCTACAACTGGAAGTTCCAGATATTTTATTGGAAGTGTGCATGCCATTCCTATACAGTAGGTTACAATTTGCATCTGACAGAAAAAGAACATATATTCACTGACTTGCATTGAACAAAGTGGTTGAAAGACTAAATATATACTGGATGGAGCAGATTGGGGAGGATAACAAATCAAAGAAACACCAGAAAGGTCAAAATGATCACACCTGAAAATGGGGTGATGGTAGCCAATAACAGGGTGTGGAATGCTGTTAATGGGAGGTTGATGAAAGAACAAAAGGGCTGGAGGCAGCCGCAGAGGTGAGAAATAGCCGTCGGGCTCAGAGGGGAAAAAAAGGGACAGAAGGGAAAAAAACAGGGAATGGATTAAACCAAACGTGTGATGAGTAAACAGTTTTTGGTGCTTCTATATTATCATGCTGGCTGTACTACGAGGAAGTGCTGGTGCTGGCACGAGCAATGCTTAGTACACTCAGTTGCAATCAGGGTTTTATATTTTGGCTTTCTATATTTAGTTACACAGTTGGACCACATTTGAAGTACTGTATGCCGTTCTAGCTTGGCATACTACAGGAAGCATATTATAGCATTTGAGAGTGTAGCATGTATTTACAAGGATGCTCTTAGAGATGAGTGGATACAGCTATAGAGAAAGATTAGAACTGTCAGGAGCATTTCTCTCTGAAGATGAGATGATCGAGAGGGGACCTGACAGAGATATTTAAAATGATGAAAGGATTTGACAATGTGGCCATAAATAGTCTGGCTCCACTTGTTCGTGAATCCAAAACAAGAGGGTATAAATATGATAGCCAGTAGCTTAAGAGAACTGACTGTCTTTACGCAGAGAGAATGTGGAACTAACTGCACAAAGGTATGAAATAAAGATAGAAACAACAACAAGATTACATTTGTATAGTGCCTTTCACGTCGGAAGGACATCCCAAGGCACTCTCCCAAGGCATCACTGGTGCGTGTCTGAGTTGGGTTGAAGGTGTTTTTGCAATATATTTAGGAACTCTCTCAGCCACCCTTTTCAGTCCTGCTAATATCCTTTCCTATAATGTTGAAACGTCTCAAAGTGTTTCATAGGGAATTGTAATAACTATATTTATCAGCATCAATAGAGTCCTGTAGCTCAGTGGTTAGAACACTTGCCTCGCAAGCAAGAGACCTGGGATTCGATTCCTGGCAGGGCAAAGTTTACTTACTCCACATGCCTGATAATAATCCCTCAAAAAATAATAATAATTTGGTCACTCAATCCATGACTGTTTGTGGGACACTGCTGTGCTTAATCGGCTGCTGCGTTTCGCCCACAAATATATAGTCAATTCACTTTACAGTATATTCTGTGAAGCGCTTTGAGACGTCTCAAAGACGTGAAAAAACACTATCAAATGCAAGGATTATTATTATTATTAAATGTGGCAGACATTTTGCGTAGAGTAAGGGTCCTCATCAGCAATAAAGTAACATAAAGAACAAACCCAAACCTAAGCTTCAGACTCATTCTTTAACAATGGTCACTACTTTGAGGTACCAGAGCCAAACGGTTCACACTTGTGCTTCCGTACCACAGAATGCAAATTGAGGGAGAATGGGGGACGCGAAGGGGAAATAACAGGCTTAGGTGGAAGATAACATAGGATGTGTACAGACTCCAATTGGTCAGCAGTCTGTGACCCCTAAATGGAAAATTGATTTGTACATTATTAACATTTCATGTTTGTGAATGCATTTCACCTGTAAATCACTCTCTGGAAGAATACCATGTTTCTGTAGAGTTGCCACCGCTCGATCTCTTTCTAAGGTCACTGTTTGGACTAATGCCTCCATCTCCTGCAGTTCACGCTTTGTTTCTTGCAGTTCTGCTAGGGCCTATAAAAACAACAAAGGGCCAGATAATTGCTTTTCAAAAAGATAAGGGAGAAAAATAGAACAAAAACTGTTCAACGAATTGCAAAACCAATTCGGATTACATAATGAGAGTAGAACACAATAATAGCTCTGTGGTCAGCTGTGGCAACTTGTGTTTAATGTGTTTCTTGGGGTGGAGCGGAAAAGGAAAAAGAGTAAGAGAGAAGGAGGATGGGATTTAGAGGATTGTAACTCCTAGAATTGATCAGGCCCACTATTGTCTGTTTAGAAGTGTTCTGAAAGCAGGATTCTGTCCAAGGGCAGTTTTCTTATATGGTGACAGAAACACTGTAATGTTTGATGCTAATTGATGCTGAAATACTGTGGGAGTTGTGGCTGACCTGGTTTTGAGCTTGGCTCAGACCTTGAATAAGTTCCTCTGACTTCAGGTACTGATTTCTTTCCATCTCCTCACAGCGATACTGCCAGTCCAGCTCTACCTGAACTCGAGCTTGTTCCAGATTCTTCTCCCTCTCTACCGCTCGAACAAGCTGCTGTTTATATCTAAATTCAAAACAATTTATATAATATACAAGTGGCTTTTTAGAAAACAGAATGTGCTTACCAAAAGCTTTTTGAAATTATTTGATTGCTGGCACAGAATAATTTAATCTCAGGTGATTGGCTGACAATTATGAACATCTTATACGTTTTTGATGTTATCAGAACGGCTTTATTGAATTATTTCCTTAAAATTTAAGCAGAACCATTAATTATCTGACAGGACCATGCACATTTTCAAAAAAGTACATTCAATACCAAAAGGATTTAAAATTGTTTGTGCATTTTCTGGGATCAACTAATTTTTGCAGTCTCGAGAAAGAACAAGTTCATACGAGGAATGCAGCATTTATGAGGTCATTCAAAGACAATACAATTATATACTATGATGGGGGAAATAATGTCCTAGAAAAAGGAGCTTTCATGGGTGAATGATCTTGTTATCCTTGATTTTTCCTATCTTCTGTATAAGTACTCTATTGTACATTATTTATATTGATCACTACAAGAGAATGGAACATAATGATAGAGCTCCCCAGGTCCCGTACGCAACCTAGGCGTCAGGTTCGACGCCCAATTATCCTTCCTCCCCCACATCTGGTCCCTCACCAACACCGCCTTCTTCCACCTCTGACGCATTGCCCGTCTCCGCCAAAATCTCTCCCCAAAAGCTGCTGAAACTCTGGTCCATGCCTTTGTCACCTCCCAGCTGGACTATTCAAATGCCCTCCTCTCAGTCTCCCATCCACTACCATCCATAAAATCCACTCAGAACTCTGCTGCCCGCATTCACACCCGCACGAAACTCCGCTCGCTGATCACCCCAGTCCTGGCCAGACTGCACTGGCTCCCTATCCCAGAGACGATCGATTTTAAGAAACTCACCCTCGTATTCAAGTCCCTGCACTCCTCTGCACCCCCCCACCTCTCTGACCTCCTCTCTCCTCAGCACAGTACCCGTTGCCTTCATTCCTCCGGGTCTGGCCTCCTCCTTGTCCCCCAAGTCCTCTGCTCCACCCTCGGCGGCTGTGCCTTCAGCCACTATGCCCCAAGGCTCTGGAACTGCCTTCCTCACTCCCTTCGTCTCGCTCCCTCCTTTCCCATTTTCAGGTCTCTGCTGAAGACCTTTCTTTTCGACCGCGCCTTTGGTCACCTTCCCCCCCCCTCCCCCTGGCTCGGTCCTGGGATCCGAAACTATAAAGCGCTCTGAGACGCCATCCGGCGTGGAGGGCGCTATATAAATCCAAGTTGCTGTTGGTTGAACTTGGAATTTAAGATCAAAGCCAAATATACACTGTGCTTTAAGATATCATATGATTTCCTTTTTTCAATAATGTTTTATTTTTACTGTAATGTAGGGGAATTCAGTTAAGTCAACTTGTTATTGTAATGTAAACATTTCTGTGACTGCATTGAAAGTCATCAGTAATGTCTTCGAACCAGAATCTATAACTGTGACAAAACATAAACTAAGGCAAGCTAAAGTCACTGATACTTTAAATGAAAACACAGTTTTTATTACGACATAAGAAAATTAACCTCATCAATCACGTGACCTGCCTTGACATAATTCCGTGCAATTTAAGTGGTTGATAAATGGGATTAGAAATAACGATTGCTTGGGGGCAAATACACTAGAACTACATCAGGATGACTTAATAAAAATAAACCAGTGGAAAGGGGTGCACAACTAACAAGAGCCATAACATGAGTCATTTAAACTGCAGCTATCCTATTCTAATGTCTTTCAATAATTCACCATCCTGAGAGGATTTTTTTTAATACTGTAATCAAAGTTTACTTGTTTTTGTGATTCTATTTATTTTTTTAAAACGTACAGCACAATTACAATGGTATTGTGTTTAAAAAGTGACAATTCAAAGCAAATCTTTTTTCTACAGAATTAAGATATGTGCTGGTTTAATATATTACCATTGTATTGAAGTCCACTGAAGATTAATAATCCATTTGCAATTATGTATGTTTTCATTACTCCACTCAAAATACACCCAAACTCAATATTATACACTGTTTTATGGCAGGGATGTCTGAGCTCCACATTTTCCCATAGACTATAAATGCCTTTTCTCTAATGACATCTCAAGCAGAGAGCAAGTAAATACTAGTTTTTCTTCTCACTCTGAAACACATTTCAACCTGAGACACTCAATCTTGCAGTCCCATTAAAAGAGCTCTTAAAAAATGATCCAACTGAAACAAATGACCTTGAGTAACAAGGGAGCAACCCTGGGATTCGAGATTCAATCTCCGAATTAGATATCAAAATACACCTGCTGGTTGAGCTATCGTGCCATCATGTTGCATTTAACGCAACTCTATTTGAGAAGCAGATGTTAAGTGAATAATTATCCCAATCCTGGTAATGTTTTGAGAGCATCCAGCCAGCCTTCGCTTTATCAAATAATTTTGTTAAAAATGCTTGCTGTGTTATTTTTTCAAGGGAACAAGATGTGCCATATCTCAGTTGAACTTCAATGAACCTTACTTCTCTCCATCCTCTTTGTGTCTTGTTAACTCAGCTCTCAGCTTCGAATCCTGGTCCTGCAACGTTTTGACTTGCACGTCCTTAGCAACTGTCTCCTTGGAGATCTGCTGGATGTGAGCATCCCAGCCAGCTTTCACTGTTGAAAGCTCCCCACGTAGCCTGGAAAACAAAAAGGAAAAGTTTGTAGGCTTGAACGACGTCTCTCTGTGTCACTGTGGCCTGAAAACAGCCACATTGTGTTGCAATGTTGAACATGGCACAGAACTAACTGCTCATCAGCTGCTTCAAGCAATTACATGAGTGTAAGACAATTCTCTGAAAACAATTTTGTTCTCATTTCATTTAAAACGTGCCCTTCGACACATGCTCGGCCTCATTAAAATTAATGAGCCCCTTTTTTCATTCCGCTCTGTCCTACGATAACACGTTTGTTTTTTTTCATCAATAACAGGACAGTTCTGTTGTTCAACAGCTTGATTAGTAGATAACTATTCCTTGTGTTACAGTCTGTCAATTGTGCCCTTGAATATTGAGCACACAAAGAAGTTTCTGAAAGAGACATTTTGGTGGATTGGCCAAACCTTACACAACTATTACCTAACTATATTAACATTCTTTTAGGTAAATAAAGTGTTTTCTAATTTCAAAAAATGTAACATACACTATGAGGCTGATTTGTTTGAAAACCACACTAAGCGCTCTTTGAAAATAGAATGTGAATTTGACTTTATTTTTAGTCAAGAGCTGCATTTAAGTCGATTTAAAATAAAATATTTGCAGTGAAGCATTAAATAAAATTGAATGCCGAGTGTTACAGCAATAGATGAGACCTTTTAATATTTCTTAACTCAGGAGTGTCCAAGAAAGATGACTGAGATTAATAGCAGAATAGTAGTCACGATCTCCTGAAGTACTCTTGAAATTAAAGGAAAAAACAGCGAAACATGAATTCAAAAATCAGGATAAAAAACAGCGAAACACTGGTGGCACAAATCGTAAAAGTAATTATATGATACAGCAGAAACTGCACTACCGATGTGCTGAATTATCACTTCAATCAAGAAGTTGAGCAGGATTGTGACAAAAAACTTTTAAGTGCATGAACGTGAAGTTACCAGGTTTTTGATTTTTCCCGAGCAGGACAAAGTGGAGAAACCTGATGCGGCTAAATCAGAATTAGAGAGAGACATAAACACACAGAGATGGTTAGTGAGGCAAGAGAGGAAACACACACACAAACACACAGATATGATATCCACAATGTTTTCATGTTCATAATAGGGTCAGTTCCAATTTATGTGGATATCAGACTCTGTATTGTATTTAAACAATTATAGAACAAAGCTTCCACCAATGTTTTTTTTTATTCAAACATTTCAATTAAGCAAATTTCATGGAACGTATGTAGAATTAATTCACGCCTGCCAAATATCTCCATTTAAACTAATGTTTTTATTAATAGCACACCAAATATCAGCCCTCTAACTGTATTAGGAAATGTAATTCATGATGTAAATGAAGTTACAATCCTGAGTAGGTCACACCAAAGGACACCACTACGATTTACAGTTCCAGGTTCTTTGCTCTAATAAAAGAGGTAATAATTTCTCCCCACCAAAAAAATTGGTCACTCGATCCATGACGGTTTGCGCTATTCGCAATTGGCTGCCATGTTTCACCCACAAAATACAAAGTCAAACCACATTCTGTGAAGCTCTTTGAGATGCCTCGGTGACGTGATGAGGCGCTATATCAAATGCAAGTATTATTATTATTAACAATGGATCAAGGGGCTTCTGATGTCTTGCCAAGTACAGAACTAAGGAAGTATATACTGGATTTATACTGTGCTTCCTGCTCTGATAAGAACTTTTGAATATAGCTCTGACATTTCATTGTCTCTCAAAGTGCATCCCATCAAAGCAGAATCATTGCAAAATATTTTTTCAAGGGTTTCATTCCACGGAATCATCATTGCCTCACTTATGGCGCCACTGTGTTTTGCACGTGCTGCATTATACATTTTGTGTATAAGCGGACATTTGGCAATTGCTTCTCCCAGTTGACTGCTGCATAAATAACAGTAGATGAGGCTGGGATTTGTGCTTCAATGTGAGGTATTTTACTCTCAGGCCTTTTCTTCCAGGTTCTGTTACCATTATGTTTATAGCGACCGATCATGGCAACAGGGCAAATCACCACTGCTGGCCATTCAGCTAAAAAGCATAGCCTCAGGTGGCCATCTTTTTTTTAACTATGTGTCATCCCACAACAACATGAGGGTCATTGCTAATGGAGGAATAATGTAAACCCAGTGTGAATCCAGCACAAACTAAAACCTGGGGATGATGGGTTGACTGTAAATCATATATAGGAAGCAAGTACTTGTCCTGGGGGGAATGGCTAATCTACTTATCAATATTTATAGACATCTCTCAAAAATTAACAATTTACTTTGAAAGTATCAGTCTGTTTATTATGCTGAAATGTTGTACAATAAATAAGTTCGAGTATAATGAGTTTGGGAGTTGTATGTCAGACTCCAAGCAACGACACTGCCTCTTTAAATTATTTTACCAATGAAATTCGTCTCCTGTCATTCCGACATGCTGACAAATCCATAGTTTGTCCTTCAGAGATAGCATTGTCATTCCACTTTAATTGCAGTCTGGTTTGTGACTAAGTACCATTGAATTAAAAAAGCTGCAGACAAAAACAAAGAGTGCATGGCTCAGACGAAGGAAACAGAGTGTACATAATCAGGTGCTTAAGTCCCATTTGTTTTTTCCCCCCTCCCAACCCACAATGCTGAGACCTTTTAATCTTTCATTGCCATTCTTTTTACAACTTTGTTTTTGCTCAATGTTTATTTTTATTTGGGAGAGTGGCAAGCACTCCTGCTGGCTCAGCACGTTTACTCAGATCTCAAAAGTCTGATCCTTGGTCCATGCTGAGTTAGCTAATCTCAAAAGAATGAGCATTACCAAAAAGTGCTACATTTGTCCTAAGCGTCGTGGGTTGGGCAAGGGGGAAAAAAAACAAATAGGATTTAAGCACCTGATCATTATTCACTGAACCCTGCTGGAGGTGCATTTGAGCTGAGTGAGGACAGTATCAGGCTCGGTTGCAATGCCCCTTATAGTTGAATAATCCAGTAACACTCACTGTCACGAACAGAACAATACCAGTAACGAGATACCATAACCTCTGCCCATGTAACTGCATTCTACCAGAAGGTCAAAGGAATTAAGTGCCTTCAGAAGAGGGGGGCACAAGTGAGTAGGAAAGAATTGTCGCAAGTGGACAAAATAATAGCAGTAAAGTTCTGAACCTAGTGAACCCACAGCTAGATGCCATTGGCTAACATCAATCAAAAATTTCACTGTGGTTCCCTGTCAAGCTCATATTGTTTAAAAAAAACAATGTGAGTATATAATCTGATCATGAATTATTTACGTTGCATGGAAATTCAAAAATTGCAATGTGCAAATTCCTTCTTCTTTAAAAGACAATTTCATTTTGTCTTGAGGGAAGCTTTGATTATAAATAGTCAAATATTATTGGCAAGTGTCAGTGTCATCATGCTGTCTACCAGCTAGCTATGTTATGTGCCTCTCAGGACTATCCAGAAGCTCTGAGAGATGTGGCACTGCTAGACACAGATGTCTACGTTCCTTTTGCATTTTTGAAATGTCTCTATGTTGAGAGATATGGACGTAGGACAATCTGCAATGCCTGACACAGAAAAATGCTGTAAATACTGAGATTTGGTACCATAGCATTCCCCTGGTCGTCACATTGATAGCACAAATATTCCAATAAATCTAAAAGAGGAAAACAATTATGCATAAAGAGGGTAATATAATATCACTGACTGGTAGTCAGCATAGCAGATAGCACATTCCCGTAAGAGTGATACGATCACTCACTTCTCAATGGCATCCTCTTTCTCTCTCATGCCATCTGCACATCTCCATTCTCCCTGACGTTTCTCCATTTCAAGGCTCTCCAAACTAATTTGCAGCTCGCGCCCTTTGTTCTCCAGCTCCCTTATCTGTTCTGCATTGGCCTCCTTTGCTGCTTCAAGGATCGCATCTCTCTCACGGGCAAAACGATCCAACTCTGCAAATCTAGAGAAAGAATAGCATTTGATTTTGTTTTCATTTACGACACGTGCTGGGAAATGAACGTCTTCTACACTGTACGTAGTGACAGTATCTAGTTCACATACATTAGATATAATGTATAAAGTCTCTGCTTCATTGCTTGGAACGATGACTTAAGAAGGCTAGCAACCTGCCTCACAATGTTTTCGATGGATTAATATCCAGTTCATATATAGGGTATTAGGAACTGAAGTGAAGTCCTCAAAGTTACATTTAAAAGGGAATCTAAACAACGTTCATGGTGACTACAACAGTGGGTCTGCTTATTGCACTGTGGACCCTTGCTATATCAGAAGTGCGGTAAACTTGACAATGTATAGGAAGTGATGTCAACGGCAACCTGACGATTTGGAAGTCGGACATTTTTATTTAGTATTGGAAGTCAGCTAGTCAGTCCTAAAAGCCCCAGTGTACTGAGCTTCCAGTTAGCACATGTAATCTGCACGGCACTGCCTATGAGTAAAGCAATGCTATTTTGAAGGATGCTCTAATGGTGTTCCCCTGAACCTCCCTTCAATTCACCCAAATAACATGTGTAGCCAGGAAACATAATAATCTAAAAAGATTACTCACAGCCCCCAAGGGCTCATTCTTGCTAATACAAGGGCATTTGCAGTAGAGATCTCGTTGACAGGAGCTGCAGACCTCTAAGCAGTATTGTTAAATGCACGTAGGCTATCACTGAGTTTAAAAATAGTGGGTGACTGAGTTCACAAGAGAGGCCTGTCTGAATCAAACATATCTCATCTGTTTTATGTGGCAGACTGGGCAACTGCATGCAATACACGTACGTTCACTTTTTTTTCTTTCCTGATCTGCATGAGTTTACATTACACCCACACAGGGGATTGCATTTGTATTTATTTTATAGTTATTTTACTCCATGATGAATAAAGTAAAGGTAACCTCCCAGAGCATTATTTGTCCAACTAAGCCCACCACAGCCATACTAATTGGGATATGGAACAGATATATTGCCCACTGCAGGTAGAACCTTTAATGTACGAGGACAGTCTTAATCCACCGCAGATCTGGAACCACTAATTACAGCTCTATGTAATGCCATATTAAAGCGGATGACAGAGAGCTTGACCTAGTTTCTCCTTAAGGTTTCAAAAGCTAGGTTATCACTATAGACCCAACAGCTTTCAGGATTCAATAAATTCAATGCAAAAGATTGTATAAAACGTTTTGTTATGGACAGGTTTTCCTCTTCCACTGAAGCAGAGTCTCCTGTGAAGCAGAGTGAGCAGGCAATTGAGCTTTGTTATTTAAGTGACTTCATTGCTAACACCGTACTGTGCAGAGCTGCTAAGAGGCTTTTTTTTTCCTCCTTGGGTGGAGACACTGAGCTGTTGAAGCAGCAACAACATTGCAAATAGATGCGGCCTTCTGCTCTACAACAACAACAAAATTTGTATAGCGCTTTCACGTCAGGAGGACGTCCCAAGGCACTGGACAGTCAGAGATTCAGACCCGAGCTGGGGGTCGGGATTGGGGGTGGACGGCAAAGTGTTAAGCAGGGTGATCAAAAGCATGGTTGAAGAGGAGGGTCTTGAGATGGGTCTTGAAGGAGGCAAGGGAGGGGGCGAGGCAGAGGGACTGCGGGATGGAGTTCCAGAGGGTAGGGACAGAAAGCCCGCCCGCCAATAGAGGAACGAGCGAAGCGGTGGACGTGAAGCAGGCCGGAGCCCACTGAGCGGGGGGAGCAACCAGGATGGTAGGGGGCTAGGGGGTCACAGAGGTAAGGGGAGCAACTTGCTACAACATATTTACAGCAAGTTTCCTTCTTCAGGGATAGCAGGTTAGAGTTCAACTGCAGGAAGACACAGGGATATAGAGAAAGAACAGGAAGAAAGGATTAAAAATGTAAATGGATAATTTTTTTAGAGAGCAAGAACTGGCAATGGACCCACTGAAGAAACTATCTATTTACTCCACTCCCTTCCTTTTCAACAAACCTGTTTATATTTTTAAAAGCTATTATGTGTTTTGTTTCAACCACTTTGTTTGGTATTGCAAAATAATCCTTTTCGTTTGTGTAAAATAAAATCCTCTCCCTTGGTTTTCTTTGGCAATAAATTTATTTACATTTACCCTCTTTTTTACTGACTTGTAGAACAGCTGAAACAGTTTCTTCTCTATTTACCTTATCAAAAACAATCATAATTTCAATAACATTCGAAAGGAATAGGGAGTTTCTCCTGGTGTCCTGGTTAACAATCCCCAATAAAATTGGTCATTCCCTTCTTGTGCCGTGGTTTGTCCACAAAGCACAATCACTACACTTTACAGCATATCCTGGAATTGTTTTGAGACATCTTCCTGACTTCAAAGGTGCTATTCCAAACATAAGGATTTTTAACACCTCTGGAGACAACTCTCAACCTTCTTTGTTCTAGTGAATTTCGCTAGTCTCATCTCAGAAGTAAAGCCTCTCAATCCTAGTTTAATCCTAGTGAATCTCCCCTATACCCTCTCTGTGGTTTTGATTGCCTTCCTAAAGTGGGGCATCCAGCGCTGGACATAATACTCCAAAGTGCTATCTAATCAATTATTTGTACAGGTTAACCATGTAACCATGACCCTCTTTGCTTATGTATTCTACGCCCCTATTTACAAAATCTTGGATCCCATTACATTTTGTTTTACACAGCTTTGACAAGTTGCCCTCCCACTTCTAAAGATTTGGGGATGTTAACCCCTAAGCTTCTGTCCTTCCAGTCCTTTTTAAGAATCTACCATTTTAGTGTACGTTTGTTCTGCTTATTTTTCCTTTCAAAATGGCCCACCTCACACTTTTCTGCATTAGATTTCAGCTGCCATCTATCTGCTCATTAGTTTATCTATATCCTCCTAAAATCACTTACAATCTTCTTTGCAATTAGCTACATTCCCATTTTTGTGTTATCTGATATTGTGCCCCTATGGCCAGTCCAGATCATTTATATATGATTTTGCCTGTCTCAAAATGTACCGAGCATGGGGGAGAGGTGGGGGAGGGGTGAGGGAAGGCAGAAAGGTGGGAGGGCGACTGAAGGCACGATCGAAGAGGAGGGTCTTGAGACCGGCCTTGAAGGAGGCAAAGGAAGAAGCGGAGCAGTAGGTTTTGATGTGGTCCAGCCAGATGTGCTGGTGGAGCGTTAGGCCGGATTTGAGCCAAGTGCATTCGGCAGCTCGCACCTGGCCCTTGAGCGGGGGTAGGTGACTGGTGAACCAGGGTGAGGATCGGGAATAGGAGAGGTGAGAGGGGCAAGGGCGTTGAGTGTGGTGGAGAGGAATCTGTGGAGGAGAGTAAGCGCAGAGGATGGGTTGGTGCAGGAGGTGGGCCAGAGGGGGAGGAGTTCAGAGGACTCCAGGGCAGTGGAGAGGGACTGTGGGGAGATCTTCTTCCACGGGCGGTAGAAAATAGTGGTAGGTTTGGAGGCAGTGGGGAGAGGGATATGGGAGTTGAGCGAGATGAAATGGTGGCATCCGAGACGCTGAGGCCCTGGGTGATCACCAGGTCGAGCGGGTGACCGTGGGTGTGGGTAGCAGAGTGGATGTGGAGGGAGAGGTTGAGAGAGGAGGAGAGAGGTCTGAAGAGGTGGAGCAAGAGGGGGTGAAGTGGAGGTTGAAGTCACCTAGGATGATGAGGCGGTGGAAGCAGAGGCAGAGGGAAGCTAGAAGGGTGGAGATGTCAGAGATGAAGGTGGGGGAGGATTTTGGGGGGGCGGTAAATTCGGAGAATTTTTAGCGAGAGATGAGAAGGATGGCATGGGGTAAGGTGCTCAAAAGAGGGGAATGAGCCAGCGGAGTAGGGGGATAGGGCAAGTGACGCCCTGGAGATGAGGGCCACAGTACCACCACGGCGGGTGGGGCATGAGCCATGGCGGTAGGTATAGCTGGGTGATGTGGCCTCAGTGAGGGGGAAGGTGTCACCTGGGGTGATCCAGATTTCCGTGAAGGCCATAATATCAACGTTCTCATTGAGGTTGAGATCATTAGCGGCCAGGGTCTTATTGCAGATGGTGAGGACGTTTTGAAGGTCAATGCGGAGTGGACAGTTGGCAGGGGGATGTGTGGGATGCGAAGGGGTAGTGGATTGGTTGGCAGGGAGTGTGCCAACCAATCCACAAATAAATAAATCACAAATGCTGAACCACCAGATATTACGGCCAGTCTCACAAATAACAACACATAATTTATGGTGATTGGCAGCAAATATATTTTGAAATCTCTGTAAATTTTTATATCCACAGTGACATTTTAGGTTTTCCCATGCATGCAATATTCCTTGGTTGAGAAGGTTGGCAGGTTGCCTGTTCCCAGGGCTCTGCAAATGCAGCTTTTGTGCTGGTCACTGGGAAGTGCAGAAAGCGGCTCCACGATGATATTTGAGATGCCTGGCTTTTTCCTGCTTGGCTTCCCCATTTGTGAGGAATTACGTGGAGTCCTGTAGCTCGGTGGTTAAAGCAATCGCCTCGCAAGCGAGAGACCTGGGTTCAATTCCCGGTGGGGCGAAATGTTGAGCAAGTTTCCTTACTCCACTCACTTCAGTTTACCTAGCAGCAAGTAGGAACCTGGTTGTTAGTCGATTGGTGGATCGCTTTTCCGGGGGTAATAATTTCTTCAAAAAAAAAGTAATAATAAATTGGTCACTTCAATCCACGACTGTTTATGGGACACTGCTGTGCACAATTGCTGCCATGTTTGCTCACAAAATATACAGTCAATTCACTTTATAGTATATTCTGTGAAGCACTTTGAGACATCTTGAATACGTGATAAGGCGTTATACCAAATACAAGGATTATTACTATTATTACAAATCCACGTGGTGTAGCATGGCGGAGGAATAACTAGGTCTTGCCATTATCCACTCTATTCTATTTATTATTCTTGCTATTTTTATTGGCTGTGATTTTCACAAATGGATTTTTGCACAGTCAATAGACCAAAGAAAAATACTGTATGACAGTACAAATCCCTCGTTTCTTACTACCTGGGAAAATATTTCAAATGTTGGCATTGTCAGACAATGAACATATTAAGTTACTAATAGTGATCTGTAATAAGCATTGTAAGTTTGCTCTTCAGTGAGCCCAAGTTAGATTTCCATTAATGTAAGCTTCTCCATTTGACAATAAGCAATGGTTTTTTTTTGCAATTGTAGACAATGTAATTTTTTAACCAATATTTGCTATGTCTACAAATGCCTATGAATAATGCTTTCTAAACAAAAAGCATATTAAAATGAGAAATCTTGCACCAGGCCATCATTTACTGGTAAAATAATCAAATCTAAGAATTAGATCAATGGATGCCACATGGGCTATAGATAAAGGCAAGTCTCTGAACATGGGATGTTTGGCATTATTACTAACTTGCGTTGGAACATTTCCACTTCCTTATTCCACTTCATTTCCTTTCCACGGATTTTATCTTCTAGTTCTTTTATCCTAATGGATAAAGAGAAATTTAGTTACGTACAAAATTGCAACATTTGGTGCAGGATTGCTCGGAACAATGCAACAAAACAAGGGTTTCCATTTCATTCTGTGCAAAATAGATTGCTTTAGATCACTCAGGTTTCATCATACCCACAACTTCTCTTAACTCCTTTATTTCCAGACAGATGAATATTTCTTCACAACGGAATATTAATAGAAAAGAACAATCATTTATATAACATACCCATTCCTGGCCATGTAGTTGCCTCCATATAATATTTATCAGATTAAAATTATATGGATTACTGCAAGGATTTAACCAAAAACAAAAAAGAAACTTTATATTCTCACCAACCTGACTTCTTTTAACGTAGTTACATCTTTCAAATCCCATTCTTTTCTTTGAAGTTGCTTTTCCATTTCATGGTTTGTGTTCTCTGCTACTTGAAGTGATTCTGCTGCCTTCGCTCCCACTTCTCTCAGCACCTCTAACTCCTTTGACAGTAGTTTCACCTACAATTTCAATTAGAGCAAATAAAAGACAAGTCAACGGGGAGTATTTTCCTTCATCTTTTATCTGCCGGCTACTGTTTTGCAGAACAAAACCTTCAACTCACAAGCAATTTATATTCAATATACAAATCTCTTATATTTCCACACAATTGTAACTCACCTGTCTGAAGCCAAGTGTTAAAGACAGAATCCAGAATAATAATCCAATGTCAAGGACACTACTCAAAGTTAACAATATTTCCCTAGATTTCCATAGCTGGATTAAATAATGGATCATCAATAGTTGTATCAGTGATCACTGATCAGTCAAAGGAACAGTAGACCCACTCTAATAACACATGGGAATTTGTATAGATAGGTGTAAATAAGAAAAATACATTTCCATAATTTTTAAAAATATAATACTGAGATATCAAATATCAGCAATTGTGGATCAGCAAATTGTAATGGCAATTGTAAGTCCCAGATGTAATAAAATAATAAATATCATCACTACACTTTACAGTATATTCCGTGAAGAGCTTTGAGACGTCCTCCCTATATAAAAGGCACTATTTCGAATGCAAGGATTGTTATCATACTATTATTATTGAGCTGTCCATAACCCTCCATTTTCAGTTAAAATTTGAATCTAGTACTGTGATGCTATTTTAATTACCACTTGAAACATCACATAATTGTAGTATATACAGCCTGCATATTTGTCCCACCCAAATATCAGCACTGCAAATAGGAGACAAAACTATGCAAATCTCAATGTGAAGCCAAACAATTCTCTAAAATGTGAATACTCCATTTCTCATTGCAAGGCGATTGAGATGCACTCCCTTCTTGTTATATTTTTCTGACTCTCTCTGAGACTCTCTATTTCGCCCACAAAATATAGTCAATTCACTTTACAGTATATTTTGTGAAGTGCTTTAAGACGTCTCGAAGACGTGATAAGGTGCTAATCAAATGCAAGGATTATTATTATTTAAGAGCAGAAGCTAAGTAAATATTTAGTTTCAGATCAAGCACTAGAGGAAGCAAGGCTAACAATAAACTGCAAATGTTAGCAGAATTATGTAATTGGAGACATCGAATAAGGGAGAAATTGGAGTTAAATGCATGGACAAAAATCTCCCACCAAGTGTCATTTTTTTACCAACTTGGAGGACAAAAGGGATTCAAGGAGTGAAGGAAATAAAAGCAAAGAATAGAGAGGAAGGGGCGGATGAGAGAAGCCGAGAAGGAAACAGCCAGTAAGAAGAAAAGATTTAAAAAACAGAACAGCAGAGAACTACAAACGGCAGAGAAGGGCTACAAGTACAGAGGCGAGATGACAGTAAAGGGAAAGTTATAGATTTTACAAGATTACAAATATACTTAATCATAGAATCGTACAGCACAAAAAGAGGCCATTCGGCCCATTGAGTCTGTGCTGGCTCTTTGAAAAGAGCAATGCAATGTCAATCCCACTCCCCAGCCTTTTCCACATAATCCTGCAAACCCGTCCTCCTCAAATACCCGTCCACCTCGCTTTTAAAAGTTGTTATCGAATCAGCCTCGACCACCCTTTCAGGCAATGCGTTGCAGATTCGAACAACTCGCTGCGTGAAAAAAATTCTTCTCACCTTCCCTCTGCTTCTTTTAGAGACTATTTTAAATCTACAACCTTGAGTCATCGACACACCTACCAGTGGAAACAGTTTTTCCCTTTCTAACCTATCAAATCCCCTTATGATTTTGAAGACCTCTATTAAGTCTCCTCGTAACCTTCTCTGCTCCAATGAGAATAATCCTAACCTCTCTAGCCTTTCCTCATAATCAGGGTCCCTCATTCTTGGTACCATCCTCGTAAATCTCCTCTGCGCCCTTTCCAATGCCTTAACATCCGTCCTATAGTGTGGTGCCCAGAACTGGGCGCAGTATTCTAACTGAGGCCTAACCAGTGTTTTATATTGGTTAATCATAACCTCCGGACTCTTGTACTCTATGCCTCTATTTATAAAGCCTGGTATCCCATATGCCCTTTTTACAGCGTTATCTACCTGTCCTGCCACCTTCAAGGATTCATTTACCTGCACCCCCAGGTCTCTCTATTCTTTTACCTCCCTTAAGATTGTATTACCAAACCTATATTGCCTCCCCTCATTCTTTCAACCAAAATGCATTGCCTCGCATTTCTCCACATTGAAACTCATCTGCCATGTGTCTGCCCATTTTACCATTCTGTCTATGTCTTCCTGCAGTTGGCTACTATCCTTCTCACTGTTTACCACCTAACCAAACTTTGTGTTGTCCGCAAACTTGGAAATGGTACTTGCTATACCCAAGTCCAGATCATTTACGTATATTAAGAAGAGCAGTGGTCCTAATACCGATTCCTGGGGAACGCCACTGTACACTTAATGCAAAAGGAGCACAAAAGAAATAGGGAAAAGTTTGCTTTGCTTTCTCCCGTTAGTACACTGGTATTTACATGCATAAAAGAGAGTATGCACGTGATCTATAGACAGGAAGAGTACAATGATGAAACCTCATGTGATCACATAATTTATTGCAGCACCATTTTCCAGAAATCTTTCACTTTTGCTGCTAACTGATTATACAGAAATGTAAACAACCAATCTTTTGCAATCGGTGGTGGGCGGGTGTTGACTACAAAAATGCAAGCTACCAATTTACACTTATATAGGGCGTTTCACTTCAGGACCACAACACTGTTGTTAAATGAAAGTGCTTTGAGAGGTGATAACATCTGATGAAGTGAGAAGGCGTTACATCAAATGCAAGGATTATTATTACAAATTGTTAATAGTAGTATATAACATGACTGCTGCTCTGTGGGTGAAGCAGAATTAAACAATGGCCAATTTTTCCTGGTAGTACACATTTCAACTAGTTACCGACATGAGGGAAGGATGCCACTCCACAGGTTGAAGCTAAAAGAGTGGAGCTAAAAAATTCTTTGGCCTTAGAATACCATATCTCACAAACAGCACCAGTGTTGGATGAATTGGAACACCCTGTGAATTACTACCAAATATAGCATTAGATTTACCACAATGTTAATACAAACTGCTGAGGGTGCAGAGTTTGGAAAATTCTTCAATACAGTCTTAATTTTGAAGCCGGATTTCTGCAGATTCTTTTAAGATCTCAAAATTAAGACGGAAAATAAGAATTTGCCAAATTCTGAATGTTTTGAAATGCTAAGAAACTCGTGTAAGTGTAGACACTTCTCTGGCGGGCACTAGCAGCATAAACAGGCCAGGTGAACTGGGAGTGGAATTTTCCTCCAGTGCCTGATCTGTATTGTCAAATTCATGAATTTGACACAAAATTGATTGAATTACAGCACAAGTGAGACGGTCTGCTTTTGCCAAGTATGCCACCTAGACGCCCAGCTTAGAACAAACAACAACCAGCAATGTGAAAATGTGAAGTGAGCATGAGAATAATTTGTTCCATTCTGCTCTGCCAAGTGATAAACAGTATTGAGTATTTTTACATATCAACCTTCATTATATATATTTCAACTACAGTAGCTTTTCAGCGGTCATATTAAAAGAATTATTGCATGAAATAGCACTGAGTCCTAAAGATAAGAATAGAAGTACATTACTTAATAGTGTACCTTCAGTTCATTTGTAAGTACGACATTACTCATTTCATCTGCTCTGAGTGTGAACTCATGTTCTCGCTGTCTCATTTCAGCATCAAACTCTGCTAATAGTTCCTAATGGAAAACAAAGGATTAAATTTAATATTCAGGCTCCAATATATATTGACATAACTATAACATACTTTTTTCTACTTACTACTGAATATCTGGCACAGATTCAAGAATTTTTACAATTCAATCCCACTTACAATAACAATTCTCATATAGAGTACATCGCTGATAAACACGATGAGATTTTCAACAATGTGCCGAATCACACCAATATAGTATTTTCCAAAGATCAGTATAATTTTCATCTTTGGTTTACAAATGATCTGACGATGCTGAGTAAGTTGATCTCAGCCGAGGATGAATTGGAGTGCTACAATTGCCCTCAGAGCCCTATATTTGACAGTGGGTGGGTGGGGGAGAGGCAAAATTCCTGTTTCTTATCACTATTCAAAGACCACACCCCTTGGAAGTTGTATGATTGTGGACACTGCACAAGAAAAGGATCAGGCTGAATAGGCTTCCCACATTGAGGCCTATTATTGGCCAGTTGGGTGAGGCAATCGATTTTCACTTCTTCGGAATATCTTTCTTGACTTGTCCTCCAGGATTCAGTATTATCTGTAATCATGCTAAGTTCTGGGTTAATAAGTAAAGTGGGAGCCTTTTCATCTTAGATAGAGATAAAAACAGATATAGTGCATATTCAATTTCCCCATAGTGACTGCTCCTTCCATCGACTGATCTCAGGAGATGAATCAGAATATACATAAGAAATCTGCTTCATGGACTGCAACTTCTGTGATAATAATAATCCTTGCATCTCAAAGAACTTCACAGCAAATTGTTGTCAAGTCACTGTCTATTTGTAGGCAAACGCACCAGCTAATTTGCACATGTCAAGGTTCAACAAACAGCCATGTAATAAATGCCCAATTTATCTGGAGGATTGTTTGTCTGGACACCAGAAAAAACTTCCTTCTCGGTTTCAATATCCTCCTCCTCCAAAACGTAATCAGGCTCTGTGTGGAGGCAGGGCTCTGTCTGATCTATACAACTTAGTTGCTCACCGGCTAGTGCCATTAGCAGCTGAGCTTTGGGGGTGGGGGAAACAGACTCTCACTAAATCCTGTTTGACTGAATTCTAATATATTGGTCAAAGGAAGTCCAAAAAGGAGATGAAAACTCCTTCCCCATTTTTAATAGTGTCTCCAAAAATCCATACTTCCTAAAAACTTATTTTGCCTGCAGCATTCATGGAATTTACAATGAGGAGCAGTATAATACCCAGATAATTCTACTCATGAGGATGTCTTTACAGATCACATGAAAAAATCTGTATTTTTCACTGACGCATTGTGTAACCTCAATTAAGAATCACTGAAAATCACATTGACGATGCAGTTAGCAGTGGCCTGAATCATGTCTCAATTCCCAGGGTCATCCCTCAATTCCCCTTATTGTTCTGTATTCCAAACAGCTGCAATATTGTCTCCAGTGAACTTGAGTTTGGTACAGAATGCACCATTAAAGCAAAACGTTTGTCCCCAATTGAGCTGGCCTCAGTGGTTACAATGGTCCACAGATGCACAAACTGAATGTGTGATAGGATGGATGGAGCATTTTGCATAGCTGTTTGGGGAGAGAAGTGTCGCTTTGGCTGGGTGGCCCTAACATGACGCTTTGAAGATTGCAATGACAGATGCAATTTATCTGACGGTTCACAGTCACAATTGGAATAACAAAAAGCAATTACTTTTACGGCTGGCAGCGGAATGAATGACCACATTTTCAATTCAATGAAAGGGCTATATGAAAGGGTTGCTAAGGAATAATTACGTTAATAAATAATGTATTTTTAATCACAGGAGAAGCTAATATTTTATTTAAAAATGTACAAAGTTGAGAATCAGAGCCTGTGAACATTAAAATAAAGTATCTATTCCATTAAATCTATGAGCAAGAATTTTATTTAATACCTAAATCCATTAATCAAGCACTCTGCTGTCGCAAAACTATGCAGGAAGTGAGCAAGAAAAATACACAAAATATTCTCGAACAATTAACTGCACTATGTAAATTTCACAGTCCAGTGCAAGCTTGCTGAGATCCTGCACCAGAAGAATAGTTACAATATTCCAGTTGCACTACACAATTTGTTTTGTGTCATGAAAGTGTTGAGATACAACACACTTAGCAATCTGAAAAAATGGCCCCAATTGATTTTTGCCAGAGGATACTCATTTCCACTGAAATGGAATAATGCAAAGCAATGCTCACACATGCACATTCTTTATCCATGTTGCTAGGCTCCAAATTGCTGTGAATTCAATGACAACTTGCATCCATAAAATACGTTTCACCTAAAGAATGTCTCAAAACACTAATTTAGTACCAAATACTCAGTGGTTTGCAGGTATGCGATTTGGAGTTGGTTACAACCAAAACCACGAACAAGAGCAATCTTTTCATTCCAGGATTTATCTGTGTTACTGAATCCCCAAGACACATAATTAAACAATTACAATTTAATTTGGGTACGATTTGATTGTGTCAGTGTGAGCAATTTTTTTTATTACAAATTACGTATTGTGTATAAAAATAGAATATATCAAGTGATTAAGTGTAGTCCTGTAGCTCAGTGGTTAGAGTACTCACCTCGCAATTGAACCTGAGTTCAATTCTTGTGCAGGGCCAAATGTTGGGCAAGTTTCCTTACTCCACATGCCTCTGTTTAGAGTAAGCAGTAAGTAGGAACCTGGTTGTTAGTCGATTGGTGGATCGATTTAACGGGGAAAATAATCCCTCAAAACAAAAACTAATAATTTGATCACTCAATCCACAACTGTTTGTGGGACACTACTGTGTGCAATTGGCTGCTGCGTTTCGCCCCCAAATATACAGTCAATTCATTTTACAGTATATTCTGTGAAGCGCTTTGAGACCTCTCGAAAACGTAAAAAGCGCTATATCAAATGTAAGGATTATTATTATTACATAGAAATAATATTTATATGAACTTGTAAAGAGTCTCCATTTGTTGTTCTGGAAATAGATCCAGTTGTACATATCAAACACAAGGGTAGGAAAGCTGCCCATACTACCGTTGCTGGCTGCAGGGAGATGCACATGAGCAACTTGATAACAGTGCTCCCCAATTTCTCCTCCCTCTCTTAATGTGGGGAAATCCTTGACTGTTTGCTTGCCACTGTTTTACAGTAGTTCAGCTGAGATTGAGAACTCAAACTAAATGCAGGCTAAACTAATGAACATGAACTACCAGAATGGGTTACTCCCATCACTGAACACTGAGCTAAAGTACATCAAATTTGTACATTTGTTATTCACGTACCTGTTTTTGCAAACTAAGCTCTCCCTCCACTTCTCGGATTTTACGTTCAAGTTCACGTTTCAGTTTTTCATACTCCTCGCGATGTCTATTTGTCTCAGAGTGTTTGGAACTGCAAGTAAAATAAACTTTTTTTTAAAAAAAGCATTGTAACAAAATATTCAAGGTAACAACAACAACTTGCATTTATATGACGTCCTTCACGCAGGGGACGTCTCAGAACGATGCAAAGTAGCAGGATTGCACACCAAGCGAGGGAGAAGGGTAATGAGTCCTACGATGGAAATGAACAACGAAACCGTTATCCCCGTGAAATGTTTTGGACAATCAGAAGTGAACATCAATTTATGTAAAAATATATAATTTCTTAAAGATGTACAGGCTCATAAATCACTAGCTTTTTTTAAAAGCTAAACTAGTATTAGTTATTTTGCAAATTATTAAGGAGCCTTAATAACATGAGGCTTGGATTATACACATGTGGAACTCAAGTAAAAAGAGTTATGATGTTCCTTCTGTCTCCAACCAATACAACAAAAAAAGAGAAGTAGGGTAAGTCAGGCGTCCTACTCTAAGTCACTCAACTGCTAGAAGCAATATCATGTTGCTTCCAACATTGCAAACTGGGCATGATCAATTTCATGCTTCCATTCATTTCTGCAAGATTAATGGCAACTGATTTGACAAGGTAGCCATGGATGCGCTTTAGTGTTGAGCTCTGTAAGACTGAAATTTTAAATAGGAGGGCACGGTGATGATTTAAGACGTATGAAGGCCCTGCAGTTTTAAACCAGATCATGTGCAAGGCATGGTAACAATGCAATTTCACAAGAGAAGGCACAGAGACACTTTAATATGTTCTTTACAAGTCAGTGGGGCACATTTGCTTAGAAGGGGCCAGGAGTACAAAAACTGGGTCTCCAGTATTGTGATCATTGATAAGCTATCAAAGTCAGCATTATCCCAAAAAAACTCTGCCCCCTTCCCTCGAAATACCTTCGGGTTTTCTCCAAATCCAACTGGTGTTGCTTCAGCTGCTGCTGGTAGCGGAGCTCCAACTGCTCTTGTGTCTTTGCCTCCATGTTGACTGCTTCTTGCATTTTGTCAATCCGAATTCGCAACTCACTGATCTCTGCTTGCTTTGAACTTTCCACCACCTTCAGATGGGAAAACATGGAATCGTATCGTTCCAATTCTCGGTCTCGCTCGTCCAGCACCTTCAGGTTGTACTTGAAGTCCTCCTTCAGTAAGGTAAACTTCTCTTGTTGTTCTTTCAGCTGGGTTTTTACATCTCGAAGCGTTGTTTCCAATAATTGGAAACGGCGAGTTTGCAGCTCTTTCCATTCCTGTTCCTTCCGAGCTAGGAGCTCATCAAAATTACCATCTTCCTGAAGCATTCCTGCAGAATTGTGCCTTATTAAATATAATGCAGTATATAATTCAGATCTATAATAACCCTTTCGCTATAAAATGCTCTTTTAATTTCCCAAATACATACTTTCCACTCCAATATCTGTAAAACAGTCACATGGTTTTAAAGTGTATGGCGAAAGAGCAGGGCATTGGTATTAAAAGATCTGCCAAGATCTAATAAACTGGCAAAACAGACTTGAACAGGCCTCCTGTTCACATGTAAGTTTGTTATTAGCATTATTACATTTTTTTTCACGAATATTCTTATCCCAACATTCGTATCCCTTGTTTGTGCTGATTGGGGCTGCAGTACAACAATTAAAGATTTAAGCTCAGTTGGTAGCACTCTCAACCAAAAGGTTGCTGGTTCAAGAAGCTTATCGGGATTTGAGCTAACATGTTAGTGCAGCACTGAGAGATGATTCACTTTTAGTTGAGGTTTTAAACTGAGGTTCTGTCTGCCTGTTCAGATGGACATTAAAGGTCTAGTGACATTATTCGAAAATAGGACTCCTCCTCAACAATCCATAAAAAATGATCATTCACGTCACTGCTGTATGTGGGATCCTGCTGTGTGCAAATTGGCTGCTAGGTTTCTATATTTTGCAGCAATTAACTATGAAGTGCTTTGAGATGTTTCGTCACGACAATTTCGACTGACACTCCTGTGCCGTGTTGGGGATTCACATGGACATTAAAGATTTCACAACACTATTTGAAAAGAGATAATTTCTTCCAGTGTTGTTTCTCCCCATTTCCTGACCTACAATCTTCCAGATAAATTGGCCATTCACTTCCTGTTATTTTGTGGGCCATTGCTGTGCGCACATTGGCTGATGTGATTGCCTATAAATACAGTCTGCATTTAATTGCTGGAAAATTCTTTGAGATACGTCATTATAAGGTTCTATATCAAATGCAAGAATTATCATTTTTAGAGTGGATGTTCTGCCTCTCAGGTCCCCCTCTCTAGCCTGCGAACATTGAAGTCAATTGCAATGCTCGACCTAACAGCATACATTAAGGATCAAAACTTGCTTATGCAAGGTACGTTTCATCGGATCGGCAGCTTGTATCAATAGAGATATTTCTAATTGAAGCGACATTTGCATTATCCTGCAATAGGAACACAATAGCTAACTGTAATAGATGCTCCAAACAAAAGATGCCAATGCAAACGCTTTATATGGCATGGGTCAGAATGACCTTTAAGGAATGTTAAGGACACTGTGAACAATCAGATTTTCCATACTATTTATTACACTGTTTCCAGTACTGTACATTCTTTTTTTATATCGGTGACTCTCATGTTATTCAAACTTCCTGTCATCATGTCTTGATTAAAGGAATCACCATATCTAAATAGAGCACTTTGCATTTTAATAGTTTTCAAATAAACCAGGAGCAGTTGTAGGCTCTCCTCTCTCAGCGTCTACAATCAGCAACTAAACAAAAGGCAGCTGTGCATTACCAACATAATTGCTGAACTGATGAAAAAATAAAATGGTACAATTTTGTGCTGAAATCCTTTAAGATATTCTGTAATATCTTACACAGCAATGGAAAAATATTTTGAAGTTTACTTTCACAAAATAACAGTATTGAAGGACTAGCTTTTTCAGTTAAATGTTTAATAAACTTCTAAAAGATTTGTGCACGTGAGATGGCCTGACTTCACTCCACTTATGCAATGATATTATATGCTTTGGACATGTCTGTAACATCACTGATCTTTTTTAATCGGGAAATATATAGGTTAACTCACTGCAAAGGCAGCCCAAGATCTGACTCAGTGACAGGTCAGGAATAATTTGGTGCTGGGAAATTCGTCCGCTTTTCATTGCATGCAGTGAGACTCTTTTGTTCCTCTGCAGGTAAAGCAATAATATGAAAGCAGTACAAAGACCTGAGGTAAACTTCTGTGTTTATTTTATTAGATCCAAATGGCTGAGCTACACCAGTTACTCCCAGGCAAATTAGTTATTTAATTAGTAAATCAATCAACCAACTCAAAACAAGGTGATAATGCTTAACCCAATCACCCCTGCCTTCTGTTTTAACTCCAGGTGTAAGACTTTATATTTGGCCTCATTGTCCCAGACAGGAGTAGGTCTGATGGAATGTAATCTACAAAGAGCAGTTTCAGAATGAATCAGCAGTTTCAAAACACCCCAAATGAAGTGTGCTCAACCTGTGTTCTCAACAACTTTGATTGAATAAGCATACAATAACTTTCCTAGCTATCGTTTTTTTAAAATACCACAAGTATGAGAAAGACCTAGCGAGTGTTTTTAAGTGAAACCACTGACACTGAAGACCAATGTACTATTTTACATGACATGTTAAATGCAGGTCACAAAGATACACCCTTCCATAAATAAAATGCATCAAAAAGCCACACCTAAAGACCGAACGTGTGGATATCTAATGTAAAAAGGTTTGTCATTCTGTTGCTGTGCCTCCATGCCACCGTTTGTGACGTTTTGTTTATTCCAGGGGAATCGTAGGAGCGGTGGGGTAGGGGTGGGAAGATCATCACAGGCTTGGTCAAAGAGCAAGGTCTTGAAACGTACCTTAAAGGAGGGAAGGGACAAGGTGAGGTGGGGCAGAAAAATCTGACCACCGATGGTGAGGTGGATACAGTAGGGGGTGTGAAGCAGGCCAGTGCCTGGCCAGTGGAGGGAGTGGACGGGTTGCTAAGGTTTTAGAAAGTCACAGAGGTAGAATGGAGCAAGACCTTGGAGGATGAGGATCTTGTACTTAATCCTCTGTGGGATGGCTGGGCAAGGATGGGAGTGATAGGCTTGTTGGGCCTGGTACTGGAAAGGGCATGAGCTGCAGAGCTCTGAATAGTCTGCAGCTTGTGGAGGGAAGAGATGGGAAGTCCAGCGAGCAGAGTTAGCGTTGTCAAGTCTAGACATGATAAAAGCATAGATAAGGATCTTGGTACTATATAGGTCTCGGCAGTAGCATCCATAATGATATGCACCTTCTTTCCTTTTATATGCGAAAATTTGTTGATACGTGTTGACTGTTTGATTTGGAGATTTTCCTGGAACCTAATAACCGGGAGTAACAAAGAAACAATGGAAATTAGTCAATCCTCAAGACTTGATTGGGTTTAAAATGTTACAAAGCATGCTATCTACTACAAACAAGTAATTGTTTTAAACTTTTTTATATATATATATAACCAAAGACTTTAGTACTCGATTGATAATTGTTCTCATTGTATCTTGTTTCTGCAGCAATCATCTCATAGCTTCTATCATGTAGTGGAAGAAGCACACATTTGTACACTGGGATGGCAGCCAACATGCCTCCCGGCTTTTCAAATTGTTTCAACAGGTCATCCCTCATGTTCTCCTCAGCAAAGTTCACTGAGAAAGGGGAGGGGCAAAGAGAAAGTATTATGAGAAAATTTAAGATCACCCAGAAAGAGTGAATTCAGTAAATCTAAAGCAAAAAAAAAACTTGTATTTATATATTGCCCTTCGCAGGGGAAGTGACTCTGAGTGCTACCATGGCTTCATGAAAGGTACATTGTTTAATGATTTGGAATTATTTTGAGTTTTGAATGAAAAGAAGTTTCTGAGATGGAATTTGATTTCCATGAGGACTCTTTCCAAACAAAAAATAATTATAAAGAACAAGCCAGGCACCCCGCAGTTTTGCGAAATTTTGATGAGATTTCTGCATTGAACCGATGTAGACTCTGCACTATAATTCTACTTTCACAATCTCCCAAAAGAGATATAAAAATCTGGGAAGGGACCACGATAAGAAAGCAGTGTCACACTTCCAATAGTGTTACTGCAAACTATAGAACAAACTTTTAAAATGGAAGATTTTAAACAAGTTGGCCACAATTCATGTTATTTAAAAGCGAGCAGATCTTTTATGTGTATTACTCTGTCTGTATTAATTTGATTAATTTATTACTGTCCTGCATATTATTGGAATAAGCTTGAATGAGCTTGTAATGCTTTCAGGAGGTCTTCGGAAAAGAACTGGGAGCGTGGCTTGAGAATTCACAAAGATAGAGGATGAACAGTTGGGATTGAAAGGCACTACTGAAATGGGGCGTGACAGAAGCATATTTCTATTATATGATAGGAAACAGGGGAATGCTTATGAGAATTGCACATATCAATTGCATATGAGGTTAAAGGAAAACTATCCACAAGTTTAGTCCAATCCAAATCGAACATGTATAGAGGAATGTCACAAAGTGTGCTTGAAAGGGTTAATTAATGCATGATAGCTGTAAAAGAAAGGCCACAAAAACAAATAGATGAAATGGAGACTCCAAGCATCACAATTGTTTCTTTGCGGGCACTATTTCTCAGCCCTTTTCTACATGCTACTAATTGACAAGATCCAAAATATGGTTTGGAAAGTTTTAACTCCAATGACCTTTGTTTAAATGTGATAATCTTAGGCACTGACCTTCAAATACCTCTCATGCCCTCATGTATGGATCTGAATTTACTCCAGGATGCTGCGATGCATAGTTTCCTAACACTGCACCTCTTAACCTTTTAACCTTCAGACAAAGCTGGTAATTCTTCCTAATGGGCTGACTGGTTTTACATGTTTTCAGCTCACACACTGTGCTACTGAAAACAAGTAAAGTGATAAAGCTACGCAAATATTACGGTTATAGTAAATATGCAAACATTACTATAGTAAATATGCAAACATTACTATACTAATCTGGTTAAAAAAAGTATTGGTAACATTTTTTTTAAAAAGCTATATGTGCTGAAATTGCTTTTCTTCTTGTATTTATCTTCTGCCATTTGATATTTTAACTTATTTTTTATTGCTTTCTTGTCTACTTTTCTAAATTTAAAATCAATTGTTTATCTCCTTTCTTGTCCTTTTTCTGCTTCCTTGCTGTCACTCTTCCCTTATAACAAAGGCTAATTTTCCTTCTCTGTATCCCCTGAAGGGAAAATGATAAAATATACATAACTGCCTGGGTTTTGAAATCATAGGAGACCGCCTAACAGACCAGCTACCTTCATTCACTAATCAATTGTGCATTGAACCAATGTGTCAAAAATGATCCCGTTCTTCTCAGAGTTACACGTACATAATGAACGAGGTGGATCAGCTGAATATACAAAATAATCCATGGATTGACATCAGACCACATATCTCATAAGTAGACATTGTGTACTCAGCCAACACAAAGTCACTTTTCTGCACTGCTTATGCTGCTAAAATGTAATGAACTGTTTGAGAAGTTGTATAATGTGCTATTTTGGTGCAATACTTGAGGGATCCCTCATCAGACCATCCTCACAAGCCTCTCTTTTACACAAAGATCTGTCTAAAATTATATTTTACAACAAAAGCAAAAATAACAAATTATGAAAAGACAGAAAGACAAGCGTGACAATTTGTTTTTAGGCACAACTTAAACAGCTATGCTGACTGGACGAATACAGGCCTGCATCTGTGCTGAATTAGCTGATCTACCTCAGTAAAAAAATAAAAAAGTTTAAGCAAAGTGGAAGTCTAGTTTACTTTTAAATCTGGCTAAATCCTCCTACTGTACATGTGTGAGTTCTTCTCAAACTGGGGTTTTCCAAGAAATGAGCTGGAGATTGTGATGTAGCACTAGGGTTAGATTGGATTTGTGAATGATAGCTCTAATGGGACTTGCAGATACAATGGATCAAATGCCTCATCTGCTGATTAAACTTTACGAATCTCTAATGCACTGTCACCAACGTGAAAATTTTCATCTGTGTGCATGATCAGGTTAGTCTCTACAGGATGCTGTTTGCTATTGCTGTGGTTCTTTGCAAGCATTTAACTCATCTAATTTTGTTTTCAATGGCTTTTATTGCTAAACAGCTAGAGGTAATTTTTGGTGCTATTTTTGACCACGAAGCAGAAGGAGATAGTGAAAGCTCCAGTCCTGATTTAAATATTCCCAACTGCAGCATTACATGCAAGCGATATTTAATGTAATCTGGCTCATTCCATGCCCAAAGCATTTCATTACATAATCCTTGCATTTGCAAAAAAAATAAAATTAAAGTACATCACAGGCTATCACTGTCAACTATCGTCACCTTGCAGCCAAATGCACATATTGTAAACAGCTGTAAAGTAAAATTATCAGGCGGATTCTTGATCGAGACACTGGGTGAAATCCCTTTCCCTTTTTTGAATAGTGTCATGGGTTTTTTAATATCCACTTGGACAGGCAGAAGAATTTGGTGTAATGTCTTATCGGGAAGATGCAACACTCACTCTCTTTCTCTCTTCCCCCTCCTCCCAGTACTACATTTGTGTCAACATGGGCTGTGAGCAAAGTGGAGCTTGAGCTCACCTTTGACCCAGGGGCCAAGAATACTACTAACTAAAGGTGACACCTGGTCATTAACAGACGAGGAGTCAATTCTCCATGCCAGAGAACTACCTTTTTGAGCTCAGCACTTTGCCATTAGACGAGGAGTGCATCCCCCCATACCTCCGTCGAGCAATGGTAGAAATTTCCAGAAACAAAAATTTCAACTTGTGGAGTCAACAACAACAAATTGCATTTATTAAGCACCTTTCATGTCAGGAGAACAACCCGAGACAGTGGACAGTCAAGGGTTTGCACCTGAACTGGGAGTTGGATTCAAGAGGGGTGGGAAGATGCCCAAAGACCCCATCAACGAGAAAGGTCTTGAGATGGACCTCAAAGCAAGTGAGGTGAGGGGACTGGTTCCAGAGAGGGGGGCAGAAAGGCTGAATTCCCGACTGCCGACGGTGGGGCAGGCGGGCGGAGCGGAGGACACGAAGCAGGCCACTTGCCTGCCGAGCGGAGGGAGCGGACGGACTGGTAAGGTTTTACACGTTCACAGCTGAAGGTTGGGGCAAGACGGTGGAGGGCTTTAAAAGTGTGGTCGAGGATCTTAAACTCGATCCTCTGGGAGAGGAATAGGGGTAAACAGGCTCAGGGAGGGTGGTGCAGGTGAGGACACGAGCGACAGAATTCTTAATGGTCTGCACTTCTCTTGGCGCAAACTGCATTTTCAATCCCACTGCCCAAACCCCCAAAATACAGTCAAGTCACTTTACAGTATATCCTGTGAAGCGCTTTGAGACGTCTCAAAAGACGCGATAAGGAGGCGCCGTATCAAATGCAAGGATTATTATGACGACGACGACGACGACGATGATCTCCACGG